TGAAGAACGTTTGCCAGCAAAGGGATGTCTTGTTTTTGGACTCTGAACTCTGCCAAACACTCGCTTTTCGTCAACGTTTTCAAGATCAAATCTTGCATACGAACTGTACGGAAAATCAGGGTTCTTGGAACGGTAGCTCTCCCACAAGACCAAGAATTCTTCATCAGAAATTATTTTACTATCATACGCTAGTAACAGCATCTCTCTTGTTTCACGAAAAGACATTTTCACAGGTTTTTTTCAAGCTTTTGAGACAGGTTTCGAATGGGTTGCCGTCGCAAAAATACTTCTTTGCTTAAGTTTGGATTTTGGCGGGAACGACGGCGCCCTCTTACCCAGGCTCGCTCGTTTGTAGACGTCGCCGTCGCCCGAAAAACGACTGGTGCTTAAGTTCCCTAATTTCACTTGGGACGGCAACGGCGATATTTCTTTCACAAACAAATATGTCGACCTTTAAAGACGCTAGGACCGTTCTTCTGGAGAGCTACTTAGACGGTGTGATAGACGACGATAAATTTATTCTACTATGCGATGAAACCTTGAAGAAGCCGAAATTTCCATATGAATTTTTTTTTATTTTTACTTGAAATAATGACATCAAAATACAAAAATACAGAAACAACACACTAAACTCCTCTAGTGCTACCTGTTTTTTTTCCCTCTTTTTTCGATTTGGTCTTCAGTTCTCTCGCGAGAAGGTTGTAGCGATCTCGAACTGCCCTTTTGTCAACTGTGAAATAAACAGCTTCAAGTTGGTTCAAGTTTTCAGCGACCTCTTTTCTTTTCTTTCTCTCGCAACAGTGCTCTTTTTTGTTCCAGTGATTTCCCGGCACAACATTTCATCGTGAAGAAAACTCCATACCACCAGCTTCCTAAAAATATTAGAATCCAATTCAGGCGTATAAATCTTTAGTTAAAAAATGAAATTGCTTTTCAAATGAGCAAAAGGTAAACACCGGCGGACTGTCAGGAGGTACAAGTCAAAGAAACCCTCACTGAACCTTTTTTTACTCGATTATTACTCCACTGTAACTGGATCTATTTTAATTTCACTTACACTGATTTACTTTTCTTCACTGGGCACTCAGGAACATTCATGGTCGCGACTGCAAAACACACAAACAATGATGAACATAAACTATGGCCTTTTTTTCTAATTTAGAAATATTTCCGGCAAAAATCGTGAAGAATATGATCTTAACAAACACCAGGGCCAGAATATCTGAAAAGGGAATCGATATCGCCTTATTGTAGGTAAAAACAAGCCGAGAATACTCACGTTTTCGAGACGACGGCAAAATAGGCTGAATGGCGTCCTCGGCGAGACCAGGACGGCAAGAACACGAGTTTTGTCTTCGTGTGCGCATGCCTCGTTGCGCAAATTTACTTCCGGTAGCCGTCGTAGCTTGTCCTCGTATCTTAAGGTCCCTAATAACCAGTCTGGGGCGTCAACAAACCAACTACGTGTGACTGATAAGCCACGCACACGACTTCGGAAAAGCTAAAAGTCATGCCAGAAAGAAACCTCTGCTCATAGGGTAGATTCTAGCCAGTCTCTTTGACGAGAAACGATTTCTGAACATTCTCTCTCCCTTCATCCTTACCATGTATAGTCCGTTGTCAGGTTTTTCATTCATGTTTCCGTTCTTTGTTCTTACCGAATCATAGCTGCGTAATTGACCGTTTCAAACTCAGATTGATGTCAAAGCAGCCCCAGAAGCAAATAACTCCTTCCGGCAGCGCTCATAAGAAGAAAGCAGGAACACTACCAGTACCGAGTATTACTCAACCACCCAATATGTCAGTATGTGAAATAAAGTTTGGAACTGGAGTTGATTTTGTAAGTTTGTAAGTGTGTAATCGGCTGCCTGGTTAGCACACTTGGGAGAACGCCGGCTGCTGAGCGGGACTCAGGGTCTTCAACTGAGTAGAAAGTGCTGCCTTTGCAATGACACCTGCAAACGGTTAGACTTTCTAGTCTCCTCTTACAAGGACGAAAAACCGTAGGTCCCGTCTCACAGCACTTTCACTTATCCGGTTCTTGTGGAACGTAAAAGAACCCACACCATTGTTTGAAAAGAGTAAGGGGTCGTAGACCCCGGTGGTGTGGCCAACCTCTCCTGGGCTGGGTGGGTTATCTATAAGGTTTATGGTCATCGGCCACCAACGAAATCGCCACTAAGGGGTCTACTTGCCACCACATAATAACTCTGCAATAACTGACTTTGTTTACTTACCTGGGACTGTTACTTCTTCCTACGATCTGTAAGGTCTGTACCCTGGATGTCATATGCTTTTCATGCGCGGTGTTGTCCTGCGGTCGACGAAGCTCTTCGTCGCACGCGAGAAAAAACCTCTGGTACCCAGGGTATATCATATGGTGGAATTGATTAAATAAAGTTATGAACCTGATGCTCTCTAAAATACTAGCCCCACCCTCCTAACCTGCGATCAGGCGGTCCTTCTTCCCTTTTTGTTTGAGAGAAGATTTTTTGACCCGGGCCCAGGGAGTCGCTATCTCAAGTGTAGTGCAAAGATGCAGATGGTGACTTATGGAAGATTTGCTGCGCAACGTTTTTAAGGTACGTTCCCGCTAAGAAAACGCTTAACTGAGGTGATGCCATGCGCGTTTCAAGGTTTATAGTGCAATTTTTATAGTGCAACTCAGATGCGAGAGCTTAAAAAGCCAATTCAGTTGAATTCTCTTTGCCTACAATTTGATGATTGTATATGCTAAAAAATAGAGAAAATTATCCGAGAGAGTGCTTTTCATATGAAAGAAAAAGAATCAGCGCTAACAAACCGGCGTTCGAACCGTAACTGAGTAGGCTAGCAGCCGCAAGAGGCCTGGGTCTTTTGTTGTATGGATCCAACATGGCGGGCGGCAGATATGCGTATCCATACGGGCCAAGTCCAACCGACGAAAGCCTTAAATTAAGGGTATTAAATGATGAAAAACATTCCATAGTTTTCGATTAACATCTGTTTAATTCTTTTAGAACAGTAAGGGGCTAAATAGACCTTGCTTGTGGTTGTTTTCTCAGGCAAAGTATGCTACTGAGTACAAGGCCACTGGAAAATGGAAGCCTCCTGAACAGTGTAGCGAACTTATCGTAAGTAAAAGCACTAATACTTGTCTTTTGATTTTTCACAACGGATCTCAATGATCACGTTTCTGTCTTGTTGGTATTGAAGTCCTCCGCTTGAAGGTTTATAGCCTTCATGTAGTTATAGTTTTGTGGGTTGTTGTATTTTATTACTAGCCTCAAGCTGACCCTATACAATATTATGATTAACAATTAGTTCATGCGTCAGCGTGCGTATGTCGAGATATTGAGCACGCGGGAAGTTTGGAGAGCACGAAAGAGGCGTAAGAGTTGCACGAGGCGCAGCCGAGTGCAACTCTAGCCTCTTGAGTGCTCTCCAAACTTCCCAAGTGCTCAATAACTCGACATACGCACAGCTGCAGCATGAACTAATTGTTTTATAACATCATCAAAGCGATCAATGCATCAGTTAACTTATAATTTTATTATTGTAGGGTGCGCTCAAATTGCAAAGCAGTACGCGTCAATGTTTACGTGACTATATATTTTTTTCCTCACAGTTAATCTTATGTTTTTATCCTGAAACTGAGAGAAAGTGTACTCTAAAATGATTATAAAATCCATATTTAGGTGCCGGAAAACTATTAATTTACCGAAAAATTGTTATTGAGAGAAAACAAGTTTGCAAAGAATGAACTCACGCCATAGCCCGCACAGCTCGCGGAGATGACAACAACAACAACAACAACACTCACCTCTTTTCCTTACTATCGGTTAACAAATTCAAACGTTTCCTCTTAAATTTCCTTATAAAACACATCGTAAACGCTTCCTTGTCTATTGCTGAGTTATGGATGAACTCAGGAGACTCAGGATTGCTAAGCTCACAACCACTCGAGGAATTACGAATAGTTTATTGACGTCATCAGCGTGCTCAATAGGAATATGAAGCACGCTCGCGCTATTGAATTTGATTAGGCGAATTTTCTAGCTATGTTATAATTTTGTTTGGCTCATGGCTCGTGTACGACGACCTGACTGACGTCATTAATAACGTAATAGCAAATGGCTAGTAGCAAAAGGAACAGTAGAGGAACATTAGGAACAGTAGGAACAGACGAACAGTAGGATCAGAGTAACAGTAGGAATTAAGTAGGAACAGAGGAACAGTAGGAACAGTAGGAACAGTAGGAACGGAGGAACAGTAGGAACAGTAGGAACGGAGGAACAGTAAGAACAGAGGAACAGTAGAAACAGTAGGAACAGAGGAACAGAGGAACAGTAGGAACAGTAGGAACAGTAGGAACAGTAGGAACAGAGGAACAGTAGGAACAGTAGGAACGGAGGAACAGTAGGAACAGAGGAACAGTAGGAACAGAGGAACAGAGGAACAGAGGAACAGTAGGAACAGAGGAACAGAGGAACAGTAGGAACAGTAGGAACAGTAGGAACAGTAGGAACAGTAGGAAAAGACGAACAGTAGGAACAGAGGAACAGTAGGAACAGTAGGAACAGTAGGAACAGAGGAACAGTAGGAACAGTAGGAACAGAGGAACAGTAAGAACAGTAGGAACAGAGGAACAGTAGGAACGGAGGAACAGTAGGAACAGTAGGAACAGTAGGAACAGTAGGAACGGAGGAACAGTAGGAACAGTAGGAATTAAGTAGGAATAATTAATAACGTAATAGCAAATGGCTAGTAGCAAAAGGAACAGTAGGGGAACATTAGGAACAGTAGGATCAGACGAACAGTAGGATCAGAGTAACAGTAGGAATTAAGTAGGAACAGAGGAACAGTAGGAACAGTAGGAACAGTAGGAACGGAGGAACAGTAGGAACAGTAGGAACGGAGGAACAGTAAGAACAGAGGAACAGTAGGAACAGTAGGAACAGAGGAACAGTAGGAACAGTAGGAACAGAGGAACAGTAGGAACAGAGGAACAGTAGGAACAGTAGGAACGGAGGAACAGTAGGAACAGAGGAACAGTAGGAACAGAGGAACAGAGGAACAGAGGAACAGTAGGAACAGAGGAACAGAGGAACAGTAGGAACAGTAGGAACAGTAGGAACAGAGGAACAGTAGGAACAGAGGAACAGTAAGAACAGTAGGAACAGAGGAAAAGTAGGAACGGAGGAACAGTAGGAACAGTAGGAACAGTAGGAACAGTAGGAACAGTAGGAACGGAGGAACAGTAGGAACAGTAGGAATTAAGTAGGAAGAGAGGAACAGTAGGAACAGTAGGAACAGTAGGAACAGTAGGAACAGAGGAACAGTAGGAACAGTAGGAACAGTAGGAACAGAGGAACAGTAGGAACAGTAGGAACAGAGGAACAGTAAGAACAGTAGGAACAGAGGAACAGTAGGAACGGAGGAACAGTAGGAACAGTAGGAACAGTAGGAACAGTAGGAACAGTAGGAACGGAGGAACAGTAGGAACAGTAGGAATTAAGTAGGAATAATTAATAACGTAATAGCAAATGGCTAGTAGCAAAAGGAACAGTAGGGGAACATTAGGAACAGTAGGATCAGACGAACAGTAGGATCAGAGTAACAGTAGGAATTAAGTAGGAACAGAGGAACAGTAGGAACAGTAGGAACAGTAGGAACCAATTCAAAGAGAGGTGAAAAGGTGACAAGGTGGATCTCGAAAGGGTTTATACCATTTCAGCGGAAGAAGACTGATCAGTGGTGATAATCGGTACAATCACGACTTTAATTTCAGCGAGAACATGCAATGCATCTATCAATCTCAAGGGGTAGGGGTTTTATTGGCATGGCCTGAATATCCACTGTTAGAGTTTTAGCATAATTTTTTGGGGATATTTGATCACCTGCACTTGCCCCAGGGTGATGAACTTTGATATTATGATAATGAGCAATCGTGTTGTCCCGGGAGTGGAACTTTAACATCTAGGAAAATGTCAAAATCACCACCCATACCCCCTCCTTCTCCCCCCCCCCTCCCCTTGATATTGCTTCAATCCGGGCTTGTAATTTTATATTTATACAAGGAAAACCCTTGTTTGCTAGATTTTTTAGCATAGGTTTGATAACATTTTGCACAAACGCTAATTTTAATATTTTTCCAAGTTCAGTTGCATGTTAATTATAGACCCTTACACGGTTTCTGTTTCATATTAGTTGGGGCAAACACGGCAAAAAAAATTACAGGAAATGTATGGGATTTTTATTAGACTGTACTGTGTTACTAGGAGAAGATATTTTGCTAAAACGCGCGACTTAGTTATAATTGTTAATGTTTTACTGTTGGCGATGCCGGTGTTTATTTTATTCAGGGTTGGATAGCGTGAGATTATAAACATGCTTATATCAAGAGTAAAAATGCACTGCGTGTTAAGACTAATTCATAGAGTACATTCTGAAAAGAGAATCGAACTATTCTGAAATTTATCTGGATAATCAATAATACAAGAGAAATGTCAAAAATTTCACACTCATATTTGAAATGAATGCTTTTGAAATTGGTTCCTTTATCTAATAATGTCCAAGGATAATTATAGCTGCATATTTTTGAAGCCAAATAAATTAAAGTTTTTGTGCTTCAATCCTTCAAACATTTTTGCTTAAAGCGCGCAGCTTGGTTGTGAAAGTTACATAATGGCCTTTTTATGGCTTTTAGTCTTTTTCACGAAGCCGATAGAAATCGTAATGTTTCTTGCTTTTACTTTTTCACTGCGGTAATATTTTAGCTTTTAAGTCATGAACAAAAAGTTAAATTCTAAAATCAACTTTGCAAACATGTCACAAAACCAAGCGAAGGTCGCAACCACCTTATTTTCAATCTTGTCACGAAAAGTTTATCGCGGTCAAAATATTTTGAACGTGGGATATTGACGTTTTAGTGTGTTTCGGCTGTTAAGACAGCAAAACGTTCTTACACCCAACGAAGCGAATCTTGTTTGAACACTGGGGATTTCCCAAATTTTAATTGGGGCATATAGGACTACATAGTGTGACGTATTTTGACCATTCACACGCAAGCGAAAATATTTGAGGGATTATAAAGAGAAATAACGCCGTATTAAAATGATAGTAATAAGTTTTTAAATAATAAGTTTATTTAATGCATCTTAACAATAAAAATACAAAAATATTTCATTTCGTTAAAGTTGTACACTTTAAATCGCGTTTGTTAGCCGCATTTCCTACTGTTCTTACTGTTTCTCTGATCTTACTGTTCCTCTGTTCCTTCTGTTCCTCTGTTCCTACTGTTTCTACTGTTCCTCTGTTCCTACTGTTTATACTCTTCCTCTGTTTCCACTGTTCCTACTGTTCCTCTGTTCCTACTGTTCCTCCGTTCCTACTGTTCCTCTGTTCCTACTCTCCCTACTGTTCCTACTGTTCCTACTGTTCCTACTGTTCCTACTGTTCCTCTGATCTTACTGTTCCTACTGTTCCTACTGTTCCTACGTTCCTACTGTTCCTACTGTTCCTACTGTTCCTCTGATCTTACTGCTCCTACTGTTCCTACTGTTCCTCTGATCCTACTGTTGCTCTGTTCCTACTGTTCCTCTGTTTTCACTGTTCCTACTGTTCCTCTGTTCCTACTGTTGCTCTGTTCCTACTGTTCCTACTGTTCCTACTGTTGTCCGTTCCTACTGTTCCTACTGTTCCTACTGTTCCTACGTTCCTACTGTTCCTACTGTTCCTACTGTTCCTCTGATCTTACTGCTCCTACTGTTCCTACTGTTCCTACGTTCCTACTGTTCCTACTGTTCCTCCGTTCCTCTGATCCAACTGTTCCTCTGTTCCTACTGTTCCTCTGTTCCTACTGTTCCTACTGTTCCTACGTTCCTACTGTTCCTACTGTTCCTACTGTTCCGCTGTTCCTACTCTCCCTACTGTTCCTACTGTTCCTACGTTCCTACTGTTCCTACTGTTCCTACTATTCCTACTGTTCCTCTGTTACTACTGTTCCTCCGTTCGTACCGTTCCTACTGTTCCTCTGTTCCTACTGTTCCTACGTTCCTACTGTTCCTACTGTTCCTACTGTTCCGCTGTTCCTACTCTCCCTACTGTTCCTACTGTTCCTACGTTCCTACTGTTCCTACTGTTCCTACTGTTCCTACTGTTCCTCTGTTACTACTGTTCCTCCGTTCGTACCGTTCCTACTGTTCCTCTGTTCCTACTGTTCCTAATGTTCCTCTGTTCCTACTGTTTCTCTGTTACTAGTCTCCCTACTGTTCCTACTGTTCCTATACTGTTCCTCTGTTCCTACTGTTCCTACTGTTCCTACTGTTCCTCTGTTCCTACTGTTCCTCTGTTCCTACTGTTCCTCTGTTCCTACGTTCCTACTGTTCCTACTGTTCCTACTGTTCCTACTGTTCCTACGTTCCTACTGTTCCTACTGTTCCTAATGTTCCTCTGTTCCTACTGCTCCTACTGTTCCTACTGTTCCTCTGATCCTACTGTTGCTCTGTTCCTACTGTTGCTCTGTTCCTACTGTACTGTTCCTCTGTTTTCACTGTTCCTACTGTTCCTGTGTTCCTACTGTTCCTACTGTTCCTCCGTTCCTCTGATCCAACTGTTCCTCTGTTCCTACTTAATTCCTACTGTTACTCTGATCCTACTGTTCGTCTGATCCTACTGTTCCTACTGTTCCCCTACTGTTCCTCTACTGTTCCTTTTGCTGCTAGCCATTTGCTATTACGTTATTAATGACGTCAGTCAGGTCGTCGTACACGAGCCATGAGCCTTTTGTTTTCCCTGTTACAAGTCTAGCAATTAACTTCTTTTATGATTATTATTTTTTATTATTGCATTTTCCTGTCTAACAAAACAGTAGCTGAAAAATCGAATTGTAACAGTACACAAGCCTAGTGATAGTTGTCCAGTATTATCAGGACGTTTACAAGCCGATAATTTCGATAGTCGATTAAACTTGATTGTTGTCGATAAATGTCGATACTAATCAATCGACAGATACCATAAGACAGATATCATAAGACAGATATCATAAGATTTCGTGTGATATCGATTTCCATTGAAATTGGTGTTAGAATTTGATTTTATATTGGAAACTATATTGTTAGGTAAAAACGATGAGAAGCAACAGTTTCAATATCCATTAGCAAATTATTAACATCCATTCGAAAAGCCTTGCACCATTTTTAAAACGGATGAAGAACTGTCCATCCTCGGAGACCCAGGGGCAGAGAGTGGGGGCGAGGGAAAGTCTAAATGGGCGGAAAAATATGGCACAAAGAAAAGTAAAGAACGGCAAGAAGAGCCCCTGGGGACAATGTCTTACCAGACAAGTTCCAAACGGTCGCCGCCGTTCTGAAATTTGATTGGGTAGAAAAACACAAAAGTTTTCTGGCACCAATCAGAATTCAGAACGGCGGCGACGGTCAACTCGAGGTTTAAAAGGGACACAGCAGTCTTGACTTTTACTTTTCGCTTTGACTTCTCATTGACCCCTTCCCTCTTATTTCGCTTTTCTAGCCTCATTTTTTCTCTCCTGCTGGGCATTTTGTAGGCTTCATTTTGGTGGGAAAAGTTTTTATTTAGTCGTTTTCCTTATGTATTTTTTTGCTTTCCTTTGTTTAATTTAATCATTTTCTTGCTATGTAAATTGTTGCCCGTCTGTTTGTGCAATGAATGATTAATAATGACCTTTATTATTATTATTATTATTATTAAAGCTTTTAGGTTCTTAGGATTAGATGAAAGGAAAGATAGATGGGTAGTGGAACAAGATTTTCATGCAAATTTTCTGGTCAATGTTACATGATTTTTAGCCTTTTTCTCCGGTGTCCTTGACTGAATTGTGCTCATTCTGGTATGCATAAGTAAGCGGACAAAGTTATCCTAGACCATTAAAGCTGATGATGTCAAAAGAGGGAGAAAGGAGGTGGATCCACATGGGCAGTTATGGGCAGCTCAGGGGCGAATGGGTTAATCAAAAGGGAATTCTTTAAATTTAAAAGATATGCATTGTTAACATGTACTACATAACAAAGATTTAAAGTAAGTCGTTCAAGCTTTTTGCTGTTTTTTAATGTATTCTTTACAGAAAGATCCATCCATTGAAAGATTTGGTTGGATTAGAGAGAATCCAGATATTTACTTCAAGTGGAAGCCGCGCACTGTGCGTAATGGATTGATTTTTATGGTGGCAATTCCAGGGGCTTTATTATACTTTCTTAAAAAGATGGAGGTGAGCTCACTCGTAGTACTTTTTTCTTCACATTGCTAAATTCAAAATCAAATTGTCTGGAATACTGAAGATTTTATCCAGCTGATTTACTGGGTAATAAGTTTGTGGTTCTGTTGCTTGCTGGCATGTTCCATCTTTCTTGTGATTGGTAACAACAAAATTAATATTCCAGTAATATTTCACGTGTTTATGGTTTTCTGAGTTCGACTGTAATATCCTATGCAAAACATATGAATACTTGACTTTGAGTTTGTGAATCTGTGGTTCATTGTGAGATCCAAAGGTTACAGCCGAAGCCTTGGCCATGAAATTCCTTATTTCTTTAGTTAAGAAATTTTTTCCTGGTCTCTCTTACTAAATTCAGGTGCACATTCAGTGATAGCTTCCGATTTTTAAGTAATAGGGGGACCCAGCCTAAAAAATAATCATTAATTTGTTTCAGTCACTAAAAACCTGTGGAAGAATGATAATGGCTATTGCATTTTCCTGCTAAAATAATGCTGGATCACATGTGCACTACATGTACTTAGTATTAAGAAAACGTTCTTCTCATAGTCATTCCTATCCAGGAATCTAAGGTCTCTATTGTGTGAATGGGTATCAGTTGATTAATGGACCTGAGTCACAAACTTTATCAAAATTTAAACATTGGGAACTACCACAAAACTGAGTGGAAGATAAAAAATATCATTCCTCTCCCCTAAGCCAACATTTTGCTCTAAGTGAGAAGTAAGTGATGTGAAGTATATATGAAATAATGTACTGTACTGAGAAGTAAGTGTTAATGTTGGCTTTAGGGGAGGGGTAGGTAGGCAGTTTCCCATGAATGTATAATAATCCAAAATATCTGCTCGAAACATGAAAAGAAAGTGTACATGTAAATAACACCACAAATATGGCAATAGCAGGGCTGTCATTAAGGGTTTTAGTAGCCGGTCCCTAGGAAAAGTAATGGGTCATTTATCTCCCAAATTCTTCCCTATGTTTGTAATGGTTGACTTATTTAGAAACTTTAAGTAGGTGGTTGATTTTACTGCAGTAGCCTGCTAAAAAAGTGGCTACTAGCTACTTATGACATCCCTGAATAGTATGTTTACCTGTAAATATTTCTTTTGCCATTTTGTTTAAGCCTCATTATGCTTACTCGACTGATTCCAACCACATTTTTGTAAACAATGTACTGTCTGACTAAAAATGGTGGTTTGGTTAGACATATCAGGAAGAAAAGCTATATTTGCAGCTCTGTACAGGTTTAGCTGACGGACTCTATATGAATGTTTTTAGAGTGTCTATGTTACAAGTCAAATTTGATTTCAGGTAGAAAAATTTTCAACCCAGGTTGATTATTTCCTCTGTCTTCTAGGGCTTGGAGACGAAGAAAATTGCAACCTATTTTAAATTAAAATTAACCTGAAATCAAATCTGACCTGTAACATCTATACTGATTATTAGTTCATCACCTCACTCCCTTTATTTTCTCTTCTTAGCAACGCAGGGATGTCCAACAAGGCAAGCCCCCACGGCCATTGATTTAATACCAGCAAATGGACTCTCTTACCTGCCTTAAACTGATTGGAGTGTTGTTAAATTGTGTTACCTTTTGGTGTAAATAAAAGTTTAGAATAAAAAAAAAACATGTTCTTTGCTTGTCATGCTTCATGTTGCTTAAGGGATTGTGATAAAAAAAATAGCTTGTGTGGCAAGTACTCCAATGCTAAAAAATGAGGCAAGAGCAGAGAGCTGCATCCCTAAGCTCAATTTCCAGCCATTTGATGCTGATGTGCTCAAAGGAATTCAGGCACCCAAAGCTGTAGCCTCTAAAATCAGTTACCTCTCATTGCTACCTGTTGATGGGGAAAAACAACTTGACGTGGCTGTATTTCCAAGGTAACAAAGCAACTGGTAATTGGCTTATGAAACCCCTTGGTTCTGAAGTAGCCTGGGACCAGAGGGAGGGGAAGGGGTCAGGGGGAGACAAAAAACAGGGTGAAACAACCCCCAGTTATTATTTTTTTCACCTTTGCCGATTGTTTTGTCCACCTTTTACCCTCACTGTAGAACCTGGTCCCAAGCTAGTTCTAAAGAACCCCATTTCTTCTTATGGAGCTCCTAATGCTTGTAAATTGTAAGCAAAGTTCCTACTAAGAAAGGTTTTTAATTTACTTTTTTCGTTTTTATCTAACTGATTTGGTAAATACTAAAACAACTATCCCCCTCAGGGTCGGTGAACAGATGTGGATATATACCTCGACTCTTCGCATCTCACTAGTATATCCACCGCTATTCACCTTCCCTTCCGGGAATAGTTGTACAAACTCGTCTCCAGGGCTTTTCCCTTTTTAAGGGAAAAGTCCTGGGGACGAGGTTGGATAGTTGTATACTATTAAGACATCCAGCAGGACATAAAAAAGATTACTCCCCTCCCCCCCCCGCCGCCCTTATTTTCCTTTTATGAAAAAAATATGCCCCCTTCTTACCACTTTAAAATACGCTTGTTCCCCTCCTTTTTTTTCCTCCCTTGTCTCCAGAATGATCTGGCGTCCCTGGCGTACCTTTTATTTTGATGGGTGCCCTGTGATAGTTGGTGGAGCACTCGGGAACCTGGATCGAGTGAAATCTCTAGTTCCCAGCTGTCTTTGCAGGAAGAAGGTTTAGTTGGTTGCCATGAAAGGGAAACATGGCGGAGGGTCAAGGTTTGTGAAAATAACAGATAATGGCAGACAAGTACTATTTGTAATGAAATCAAGGAATTTTTAATGAATTGTGTGGTAATATGATTCTGCTTGAAGCCATTCGTTTGATTTGGTGAGGATGTAGCATGTTAAAAGGCGCGTATTCGTATCCTTTTTTAAACGACAGTTTGCTGTTAAAGCTTACTTAAACAAGTAATCCTTTATCTTTACCTATAAAGCTTGTGTTCAAGTACTTCGTAGCTTGTATCTTTTTACAGATTGATTGCGTTTCTATTTTTGTTGCGTACTCTAGTTAGCTCGATTAACGCCAAGCATTGGAGGCAATTTGTCTTAGTGTACCATAAATGTACGTACGTGACTGCATAAGCTTATTTTTATATGTTTTGATCCTACCGTATATGCAGTTTGAAAGCTTGTACTCCTGTAGGATAATTATTTTAGAGGCATATGGTTGTCGCAGTGGATATACAAAGGGCAACTTTAACGTTATCGTGAACAGGTTATCTGTTTTTTTATTATTATTGGTGTTATCATGCTGTAATCTGGATTGATCAAAATAGCTGGAAAACATAAACAATATATCTCAATCGGCACGTACACTGTAGGGCTGTCGCTAATATTTTGCAGTTGCCAGGTATATATAATTAGTTGGTGGGGAATTAAACTACTGGGATATTCAGCCGTCTGATTTGTTTGATCACAAGCGTGCATTTTGGGGTGGCATTGTTTATTGGCCTATTTTTCTAGCAATTCTTACAGTTTTAAATGTTTTTTCTTCCAAAAGATATTTCAAGTATCAAATCTTTACAACTGCAAATATTTCTGGAAATGTAGGGATGAAATTCTTGAGTTCTTCAAAGAACTGAAGTGTTTTGAAGCTGTGAGTCAACAAACCTCCTACTTGCAATGACAACATCTGCTACAACCGTAACTGGTCAAGTTACCCGAAAGTCATTTCACCGGAAGTTATGCTGCCCAAAACAGAGTTATGTTGCCCAAATTTTTAATAAAGAGTGTATGTAATATATCCCGTTCTTTAAGCCATAATGAGACAAAACAAGTGGGATAATTTTGTAATAATTAGTCTCGTTCTTTAAGCAGTGGTGCCATGATGAGAGGAAACTAGCGAGATGAATGTGTAACATACGTAACTCGTTCTTTAAGCTTTGATGAAACGAAACAAACCTATTAAATGAATAACATATCCTTTTCTTAAAGATTTGATGAACAAAACAAGTGCAATTTAAGACGTTAGGATGTCGCTGAGCATGATAAATTGACTTTCAGGCGACTTGACTGCAAACCACTAAAACATGACTCACATTTTCACACATTCAGCGTGGCAGGCGAAAGATTGACTGAAGAAATAGGCTCGATTTCCACTGCTCTCTCAGGTCCATCCCAATAATAATAATAATAATAATAATAATAATTTTAAAATTTATAGTGCACAAATAATATCTATGGTTATACTACTAAGTGAGAAATTTCTGCTATTTGATTGGCTTAGAGCAGTGGTATTTCAGCTTAAGGTGGCTGAACACAGTTTCATGGGTGGTCAGTGGTAACTCACATGACAGTGTGTGTTTTAAATTAGACAAACAAACATGGTGGTGGAGAAAGCAACGATACACAGAAGATGATTTCTCAAAATCTACACATTAAAATTTTGTGATATTTGGCAGAATTTTTACTTTTATTGTATTTTAAATAATGAGAACTTTAAAATGGAAGTTGAAGAGATGGTTTTTGTGACACAATTCGAAATATTTAAGAAAGTTGGAGGAATTTAAGTGAAAGGTATTACGAAATTCACTAGCAGTGAGGAATTTATTGTCATGGAAAATATAGGCGTTATAAGTGATCTCCATCTAACTTCTCTTTTTTCCTTTTAAAAACTGAAAGCGATTTCAAGGGTGTTAGAAATTTTAAAAAATAGTAATTGGTTATGTCACATGATTTGCTATCTTTGTAAAAAGCTAAAACCTGTCTTTGTGTCAATTTATTGAATTCCAAAAATAATGGTCCAGTTTTGTTATAAAGGTTATTTTTTAGGCGTTGAAAGCCTTTCCTGCCATCTGTTAATTGCTACTGATGGCAAGGATGGACATGGATTGTAACATGAAAACATTGGGCTAACTTTTATCACCAAAACAAATATTATGTTTAGTGCTGTCTGATGAAATTTGTTTCACATATCCTTAATAACTCTATAAGAGAGTTAGTGTATGAGTAAAGGTACTTATAAATCATTTAAGCACAGAATTGATCTAAACAGGAATATCCTTGTGACATGGGCCTCTTAAATGTGGTCAAGGAGTGAAAAGGTTTAAGGCAGGTGGGAACTGATCATACTGAGGTGTCTAAATTTTCTAAAAATAATGCTCATGAATATTGTTCATAATTGTCTTATTTTAAAACTAAAAACTGGGGAGTCTCAAACCCTTTGGCAGCAATATACTTTAACCATTTTATAAGATTGCAACAAAGTTCTTGACTTTTGAAATGTATAAAGAGGAATACATATTGGAAGTCAATGCAAATGAGTTTCAGTTGAATCAAATATTAATGAATTTGGTTATTTTTGGTTTGATATTAGCAACTGTTAACCTTTGTTCATAATTCTGCTTTGCATCACCAAAAAAGATGCTATCAATGTCTGTTTACTTTTCATAATGGTCTGCTGACACTTTGATCATTGCCTTATTAAATAACAAAAAAAAATACACACTTGCTTGCTAAATGCTCAGGAATGCTTAGCTACTGGTTAGTATAAATTTATATGTATACTTGAATTTTAACTTGTCTCTTTATTGAAGCCTTAGGGAAGTTTCACATCTAAACTTGCGAAGTTTTACCTCAATTGTGGAATCGACACATTTTAGGCATCTGACTAATGAACGGTTATGACTTTTAGATATTTCGAGCAACGACAATTTCCTGTCTGTCCTCTTTGAATTGAAATGGATTATTCATGGTTTGTTTGCCATGAGGAAAAATTGGTCCTTACTCACTTTCATTATAATGGTATTTGGTGTATATTTCTAGTAAACAGCTCAGTTATTGGTGTATATCACTGTACTTGTAAATTATATAAAGTCATTTGTAGGTAATATTATATAACCATAATTTTGTAGAAATTAATGTAGCTATAAATACTTTACACTTTTGGAGATGGTTGATTGAAAGGTGCTGTTTTCAGTATTAAATTTTTTCTTCAGTCAGGAGCCATAACTCCAGGTTCTTTAAAGCCTAGGTCAAAGTGTTCGTGTAGATCTAAATTTTAGTGTATTTGTGTTTGAGTGTCTCCCATACCAAAAAATCCATCGACCAATCAAAGCAGAAGATAATTTCCAGTAGGTGAACTACAATGGCAGACTATGGTGAAGTGTCAAGCAAAGATGTTTAACCACTCCACGGAAAAGTTGTTCAATGTCATCTTCAATTGGAGATTCATCAGAATCTTGCAAAGGAGGTGATTCCATTTGTGGCATCAAGAGCACCTCAAATTTCCATGGTTAAAAGAAATCTAAGAAAAAGTCTGATTTCAAATTGAGTGCATTGTGACACTGGTTTGTAGCAGATGGAGGTATCAGCTTGATGGTTTCTTGGTACAACTAATTTGCGGAAAAGTGAATTTAAGATATTTACTTATTGTAATTATGATTTTAATAATATAACTAAGGTGTTGATTAAATGTTCTTAAAATGTTCAACTCTGACATCATCCTTGACATCTGTGCAGTGAAAAGTTCAAGATTATCCAGCAAGAGAGACTTGATCAGCTTAAAGAGGAGCACAAGGAATCTGTAAAGTCTAAAAGTGACAGAGTAAAAGAGCTCTCAAAGGAGACGAATCGCAGGAGAAGGTAAGCAATAGTACTTGAGGAAAAAATGTCTTTTAATCATTATTTCAAATCAAAATGGCATTTTTTAAACTTTTTTCTTGCTTTTAAAGGCAGTTGATTGCAATCTTATTATGGATTTGGCTTAGGTTAAAAAAGGAGGTCACCCCTTGAACAGATTGTCATTATGCTTAAAGCCTTTACACACTCACTGAGTTTTGTCACAATGCTCACTACTGATTGTTTGGAAATATATTCTTTGTGTAAACAAATGCACTGCCAGTTTTTCAGTATAAGAGGGTGATATGCACCTTTATAGTGCATGCCTCTTATATGTGATTGCATAGCTAACTAGGATGTATTCAAACAATAAACAAGCAATCCTTTTCCAGTCAATGGATCGACCCCAATAAGCATTTATCAGAGGATCACATTGTGCTCACTTCCCAAGACCGAGCCAGTTGAGATGACTTAAAATCAACTGCTTTTCGGTTGACTGATGATGATGATGATGATGATCGTATCAAATTTTTTCCCTTATGGTAGAGCTCTTGAGGAAAGAAAAAAAGAGCAACAAGAAAATGAAGAAAAGACAAGAGAAGAGGTATTAGCTAAGAGAAAACAGGAACAGCAAGAGGCGACACAGCGATTCCAGAAGGACACCTTGCAAAAGAAAAAACCTACACAAAACACTACAGATGGATCAGATAAAGGTACAATTCATTAATTTTTATTTTTTCTTCTTTTTATTATTTTTTTGAAACGTGTGTGACGGCCATTTGACCAGGAATCCAAGACTGTCTGGGATTCCGGATTCCGGGTACTGGATTCCAGTCTTTGTCAGTGGAACTTGAATTCCGGATTCTATTGGTTAGTGGGATTCCGGATTCTTTGAGCTGTATTCCGGATTTTAAAACTCAGGACTTCGGATTCCACTAGCAAAAATTTCCCACCTTCCAGAGTTGGGATTCCCTTCCCTAGGCCATCAGGTTCGTCAATATGACTCATTTACAATTTTCCTCATTTACACTGCCACTTTGGTATGTCTTGGCAAACTGGCCATACAATTCTTCACAAGAATGCCCTTACTATTTTAATTGAACACGCTGTAATGCATTCACTTCCGTAATTTAGACAAACAGCCATGTTGTGAAATCACAGAAAACGGTAAAAGTTTTTTGATAGTGGAAAGTGCACTTAGCTCATTCAGCTAGTTTACAGGCACTTCACTCCTTAGCAATAATTAGACAAAATAATTCTGATATGACATAACAGGAATAAAAACCGTAACTGGCAGAAGGCAATAAGTTGGCTGTATTTACAAGAGTGACAGAGGTTTGTACTCGGGACAGCTGAAAACAAATCCAGCAGATGGCCAGAGGGGGATTCTAACCCAGAACCACTAGATTGTTAGTCTGACATCCTGATCAGGCTTGTCTATCTCATAAGTCTACCTCATAAGGCCATTCAAACAAATGTGAATACATGATTAACACTGAAAGTAGAGTTAAAAATTTAATATACACAAGAGTTGGTGACTTGTCATGGCCCTATAAAGGAAATAACCATGTTAGGCCTGGAAATGATTTTTTTTCTTAGTAGGTAGATACCAGGTCATTGACTTAATTGACTGTTCAAATCCCCTATAATACATGGCTGTTATGTCCCAGATTTCTTTTTTACATGTACCTCGGTTTTAGAACTTTTTCTTTGTTTTGTATCATAAGTTTTCCTAGGTTTCATTGTGTTTACCTCTTTGCTTTCTTTGTTTTACATCAACCTTGCGTTTTACACTGAGACTGAGTTGAAATTTTGCATAAGTTGTTGTTTTCAAATGCAGCCCTCCCAGGAGTATTTAAAAACATAAGTTGAGAAAAGCAAAAAGGTGGATTATGGGGAATTTCGAAGTAGAGAATAGGACAAACCAGAAAAGTTGCAGCACATACATTATGTTAACTTTTTGTTTCTTTTTATTTCTGGTGATAGTTTGGATGATATCAGTAAAGTTGTTCAGTTTCAATATCGTCGTTTGACCCAGATCATTTTTAAAATGACCCAATTAAAAATGCCATGTGGGACATGTGCCCCACTTTGACTGATGTTTAGATTGAACACTGTATACTTAAGACTGTCATTCTTAGGGAAAGACTTGCATTTATTACATGCAAATCTTCACCTAAGAAAGACAGTCTTTAGTATTTTGATCTGCTTAGTCATCACTTCCATGATATTTGGCCATCCCACCAATATGGCCAAATTCTTTTAGCCCATATAATTATATAAGTGGCTCTTTTAACAGGTCCTTGTAAGCCATAGATGAATTAAGCTGAAACTGTTGGTGTTTTTTAGAGCCAGTTGCTGTGCGAGATGGCCGCTATGTAGTGAGAGGTCACGTGGTGGAAGTGAGAGATGGGAAGCAGGTGGCACATGCTACATCACAGGACACCCAACTTAGGCAACAGCAGGGTGGAGTAGAACTACAGTCGTGGAGAAGTGAAATGCTACCAAAGTACGAGTTTCCATCAAGACATAACGAATATTTCAATGGTGTTACTAACGGTGGAATTTTGTATGCAATGAATAATTTGGGAAACGAAGGAAAGCTATATTCTTCACAGCCAGGTTTTGACCCATATTGTCCACCTGGGAACCGAGTGGGCCTTGAAGCAGGTGGAAAAATGGGTGGATTAACAGAGAATGGCTCTGTAAGCGATACGCTGACAGTAGAAGAGCAAGAGAGGTTGCGAGCAGATGCCATTTCAAAGGGTGGACCAAAGCTCGCGTTTATTAAGGACGAGTCACAAAAGGAACCTCCTGAAGGAGCTTTACCATGTATCATGGGAAGGGACTCTCCTGGAGGGAGCATCACTAGCTTAGATAGCCTGGATGAAGTTCCTAACAAAGGTCAAGAGTCAGGTTCCATTAGCAGGGCTGGAATCATATCAAAAGGAAGTAAAGATGCAAGCAAGTTTGCCGGAAAGAGAAGAGTCACATTTTCTGACAGCATCGAGTTTGATGATGGCGTAACCGGGCAGCTTGTCACCGAGGAAAAGCAAAGTACAAAGGTGTATACAATGTTGTACGCTCGAAATGTTAATAACTATTATAACATGCCGCCATCCACGAGCTCTACTTCAACCTCAGTAAAATCCTTAGCAAGCCAGAAGGGAACTAAAAATGCCGCGATGACATCAGTGGAACAAACGCTGACGGAGCAAAATAATACTAGCGCAGCATTTAGTGCAGTGAAGGCTGTCGATAGAGAGCCATCAGTAGTGACTGTTGTACACAGTGATCAGCCAAAAGCTAAACCTGTTGCTCTTGTTAGTTATCGCCCAGCCAAACCTGAGACGACACAGTTTTCTTTAAGGCAGGAGAATGTTGCAAAAGGAATAGCATCAGGGCAAGAGACTTACAGTAAAGACACGGACAAACCTGTGGATGAAGCTAATTTTGTTAGTGGTCAGTCGCTCAATGACAGCTTAGAGATCATTAGAGACAGCTTGGATGAGAAGGACAGCTCTTCTGTGGCACGGCAAGAGGACGAGGAATGCAGTAATGAGAGTGCAGTGACCTGGACTATAGGCACATCGTCATTGAAAGACTCTCTGGAAAGATACGTGAAAAGCACCGCGGAAAGCACTGCGGAAGAACTTATTGATGGAGCTTCATGTAATGGTGGTCGAGGTAACGAGAGGGATAATGGCTTTGCTCCTAATCCATCAGAAGAGAATAATAGAAGTTTATCCCCTCATCTCACCAGTGATACGGATAGAGTGGCTGTCGTTGGCTCCAGAGAGGAGACGGCGAAAGGTTTTGTTTCTAAACCTCTGGAGGGTAAGGGATCTGGATATCTTAATTCAGGATACGTGGCATATCCATCTCCAGTCTTATCTTCATACCAACATTATCGACCTGTTAACTCCAGTCCAGCCCCTGCTGTGTTCACTTCTCCGTACGCTTATCAACAAAATGCAAATGCATTCAGCGGTGTGCAGTCCCAGGGAACATTGCATCAGAACTTCCCCTATACTTTCTCCACCAGTGCTGGATTAATGGGAATGAGTCCAGCAAGGCAAGAGCACGTGAGTTTGGAGAGCACACCCATTCCGTACGCTTCACAGCTTGCTGCAACAGATTATCGTGTTGTGGGTAGAGAGGTCGTGCAGTCAGTCGAGTCCCAGAACAATCATGTCCTAGCCTCATCCTCTTCTATCGGGCATGCTGCAAACAGAGTTAACACTGACCCAACAGGTGGTACAGGAGTAAAAACAGCAGGAACATCGGCTGTTGAAGTACAAACTGAAAGGAGTAGCGCTGTTACTTGTAGAAAAAAGCATTCATCGTCACCTTCATCAAATGCATCAACCTCCTCATCAGGGCGTCGGTCTCCAAGGTCGTTCATTCCAAGACCTCCAGCCACGAAAAAATCTGGCAGAGGTCGCGTGTATCCAGGTGGTCACTACAGAAAACAAATCACTGCTCGTCCACGGAAGGCAGTCAACAGCTCCCCTGTGACAGCAGGTGGTGGACAGGGATTGAAATCTAAAAGAGTGCTTACTAATAACAATGACATTAACCAGACGGAACATGGTGTCGGAAGGCGCAACTCACCTTCACCAAGATCAGGGAAAGGCAAGAGTGGGAGGACTCAACCGAAGCGATCAAACAGCAGTGAAAGTGAGAGTCCTGATCATGATGGTATTATTGAAGGAATAAAGCGCAACATGGAGATGATGAACATGAGAGCAAGAACAACAGCGGCCGAGGAGCAACATCGGAGGATTTTGGATTCTCTGAGGTTGGACTTTGGTGACGAGAAGCACGACAAGTCGTCCGCGCAGGCATACCCTGCTCATGGAGCGCCTTACGGAGAGAATAACGGTGTGGCCGATAAAATTGTTGTAAAACACGATGGCACCACTCGACGAGTCCACCATCCCCGTGTGGGTTCAGCGGGGTCCCGTTCAGGCAGACCCTCTGCAGGCGGAACTACCAGAATCGATTCCGGTGAAAGCAGCTATAAACTAAGTGGGTATCAAGGAGAGAGACCTGCAGGCAGCAACATGAGATTGGATGCTACTAATGGTGAACATTATCAACCAACAGGCTTCCGAGGTAGCAGACCTCCCTCTGGTCCTAACACCAGGCTCGATTCTGCCAGTGCCGGTTACTACCATTCAGTTTCATCAAGAGAAGGAAGACCTGCTGTGGGTAAAGGCGTCAGGATGGATTTTGCTAATGACAACTACCACTCCGGTTTCGATGGATATTCTAGGAGTGGAAGACCAGTAGGAACTGAAGCAATAGCTGTGCAAACAGTTCCTGAAGATGGTTTCGAAGGAATAATTCAAAGACCTGCTCCAGTTTTAAGTCAACGGCAGATCTACCAGGAAGGGAGACACGATTACCCAACATCAAGTGTTGCGCATCCCATTATAGGGCAAGACCGCGAACAGTCCGCACAAGCAAGAGACGTTAATTTGTATGGAAGGGAGGCCAGCGACCTTAATAGGTCTATATCTTTGGAGAAAACACCCACAGATGATGAAATTAACCATCTTTGGGCGCACGTTCGCTCTTACCTTCATAGCGGAAGTAAAAAATCTGTGGGTTCAGACTCGTGCGTTAACAGAGTTGACGTACGCCGTTCTAGGACGCGGTCTAGTTCAACGCAGCGGGAGTTTGTTCAGCCCACTGCTCCGCAGCAAAACACACGAGGTGGCCAGCTAAGCAAGCCTGGGCAACAATTTCTTGGAGTGTCTCCCCAAGCTGGCGGTAGTACGCTTGGAGGGCTGCGTCGATATGGCTCTCATGAGGTTCTCAGACGGGACAGCTCTTCAGAAAGTCTGTCAATTAAGAGGCCGCCATTGCTGCAGCACCGCGCGTCAAGAAACAGACGATTCCAGGGTCAAAATGGCAGACCGCCATTACCGAGACAAAACGAGCATAAACCGTTACCGAGTCAGGCTGGACCCAGCGCGTCAGTATCTACTAGAGGTAACTTAATTCAATTTTCGCACAACCATCTTGTACCACATACCCATGATGATGTACGTACCACCCACTGACTGTCGCATTTTTTGACAGCTAGCAATATAGCTTTTGACTAGTAGCCAAGAGTGTGTGGTAACTTGAGTAGTAATTAAGCAATTTTTACCCGAAGTAATCAAGAGAGCGTCTCATGGCATGCACGCGATATATTTCATTGCCGCAAGATCTTCATCAACATCCATGTGAAACGCTTTGTTTGTTATAGTTGGGGGCCCACAGCCATTGTCGCCAGCTGAAATGCAAGCCGTGATGATGGCCTCTGAGAAAGAAATGCTTCACAGATATCAACAAGCGGAGTTTGCTGAGATGCCGTCTTATCAACAGTTCCAAGGTGTGCCGAGCAGGGCAGGTCAGTAAGCCCACCACTTTTCACTGCTTAGCTATACCTTATCTCACAGCAGCCTCCATAATCTCTGTCATCTGTGGTGTGATGTAATCTAATAAGTACCTGATCTCTGTTGTGTTACTTAATAATCCGTTTACCGTTTGTCGATAGCTTTGCTTCTGCCAGAACCATCTCTGCCCAAATTTAGGCCAGTTTCTAGTTGTCCCAAACCTCTGTTTCAAAGCGAGGCTAATTTCGAAGCTATTGATCACTTATAGAAACGATTTTCTATTCTCATGCAAATAAAACTCATTCTCATAACAAAGGTTTTGCTTAGCCACGCTTTGAAAGTGAGAGTTTTTGTAACTCGGAACTGTCCTATTCCCGCAGCCCTGCAGAGATGTAAGTATTGCACCAGTGAAAAATTTTCGTAGTCATTGTTTTGCTTTTATCGTTAGGTCCCAGTGCTCTCTCACTGGAGGAGCAAAGGTTACTGCAGTCTTTGGATCGTTTGAACGAAAGGCTCAGAGGTATTGTTGATGTTACAGCAAGGAACCCAAAAGAGTGACCTCCTTTAATCAACTCACATTCTTTCATGCAGACATTAACGAATGAGAAGTCGAGGACAGTTTCCAACTGGCTTCTGATTGGATTAAATCTGTACGAAAGAATATGAATAAATCAAAAGCGGACACACTTTTTGGGCTCAAATTTGTATTCTGTTTTTTTGGTGAACCCATGACACGACTATGCCTATTGTATTGCTACGGTGTGTGATTGGCTATAAAGTCGTCCGTTATGAGCCAGAGTAATTATTTGGGTTTTGGTGTGACAAAAAACTGTTCTACTAAAGCGCTTTACTCTGGACAAGTAATACAAGGCAGCTATTAACCAATAGGCCTTTCTAAAAAATGCCGCAATACTCTTAAATCTGTGGGCTCCGCCTCTCGTGGGTGTAATTATTTCATTGCCCTCTGGAATGGCAAGTTCGTGTAAGAAGTTTTCTCTTGAACACACCTTCTTCAGTGATTAAATGAACCTTTAAAGTTGATTGTGAATTAAAACAAGTGTAACATACGCTTCTACACGAAAAAAACATTAGAACTAACACACTTTTAAGCCAACACTTGAACCTTGGCGTTTGTATGCAAATGTGCGTATTACCAGGGTTCGTACAGAGTCTTGAATTCTCGAAAAAGTCTTGAAATTTGCCCGGCAATTTTCCAGACTTGGAAAAAAATTCCGGAAAATAGGGATAAAGCTAAGACCAGTGCTTTAAAAGTGAATTTTTTTTCGTGTTGGTCAAATCTTGTTCAATCTCGTCTCTACATTTGCAGCGCATCATTGAAAAAGCTTTGTTCCTGCGTTTTTTTAAGGTCTCTATTAATCAACTATTTGATAACCTTGAGTCTGGAAGAAGTCTCTAATTTTGTATCCAAGAATCTGTACGAACCCTGTATTACCCAAATTGTTGACCAGTTTATACGTGGTGCGTCCGTCTGGTATGAGCGTCCTTCTAAATATACGACGCTGAAGATTATGATGGTATTTTTTGGAAAGGCCTGTCCCAAATGAAACCAGAACTGAGACTCCTATCGCCCTATGTAAGGGAATTCAAGACATTCTTGGATTGTGGATTCCGGATTCCAGGTACTCGATCCGGATTTTTTTTGTCAGTGGAACTTGGATACCGAGTTTCAATCGTTTGCGGGATTCCGGATTCCTTGAGCTGAATTGCAGATTACAAAGCCCAGGTTTCCGAATTCCGAAGCAAAAATTGGTTGGATTCCGGTTTCAGCAAGTAAAAATTTAATTTCCTGGGCCGGGTTGTTCAAAGAAGGGTTAAGATAACCCAGGGTTAGTGCAAAATTTGAATTTAGATATCAAAGCTTAAAAAGCAAAATCAGTGTTATTATTTTTTTCTACAGCTTAATGATTGGATGGCCTAAAAAGAATAGAGAAAATAATCCGGGAAAATGCTTTTGAACAAACGAAAAAGAAACCTGGGTTAAACTTTAACCCTGGGTTAGCGCTATTCGGCCTTCGAACAACTGGGCCTTTCCTGGATTCCGGTTTCCACAAGTGAAAATTTGTTGGGTTCCGGACTGATCCGGATTGCCTTAAAAGGGGTAACTCCTAGTACTATGGATATTTAGTATCAAGAGTAGCACAGTTTTGAGATTTAATGTTTCTGTATGTACTTCGGGATTTTTTTTGTGATTTAAGTATCCTTGTATTTTCAGCTCAAGAAGAAATGACTAAAGCCATTTCACAGAAGCCCAGAATGAAAGATAGCGGACTCCGAAAGGCACAACAGGTACAGAGAGAAAACGTCATTCACTGTTAATCATAAAAAAAGCACTCGGGTTCGGCTTTATTTAACAGCTATAGCAAGCGTTCATGGTTTAGATAAGACTGAGCAGAGAAACTAGGACAGTCAGCTGGAGAATGACGAGTGGTCACAAAGAAACGAAAAAAGTGTACTGCCTACAATACTCACAGTGTTACTTTTGTTCTATTTTAGAGTGGTCGAACTACTGCTGGATCTCGACAAACCGCCCAAAATGGCCCGGCACACAGCTCCAACAGAAGCCTGCTACACACCAGATAGCGAGTGGATACTGCATGACAGCTGTAACAGTCAGTCGCCAGTACTGGATGAAGCGGGCAACCTCCCAAATAAGCCGATCAGATTCTTGCCACGCAATCATCTCCTACTAGTTACAGTAACAAAGAATATAACTACTCTTATAGCTAGTTCATGATCAGTTTATACATCAGTTTTGCCAAGTTTGTGTAGTATAAATGGTGGTAGCGCGTTGTCGAGTTGCATTTTATTCCTGCTAGTGCTTCGCATTGTTTCCTTAATTAAGAACTTGCCTCGCGGGTGAATTTATAACCAACAGTTGAAAGCAGCCAAATCCCCGAACATAATCCTTCAACCCTAACACTGCTGGACAGCGCCAATGACAAAATTCAGTTCAGTATGGGATACTGGGAAATTTCCCCACCCACCCTTCCGCTAACCCAACTTCAACTTTGAACGTTATACTAAATAAATAGTACCGTGTGAATTTTTTTTTTTTTTTTTTAGAAATTGTGAATGCTGAGACTAGGAATGTGTTTGAATGACTTGAACTACTTGCAAAATAAGACATCACGTCTTTACTAAATTCGACGCACGTATACGAAATGTAAATGTCAAAATAAAAGTGTTCTAGAAGAACTCGTCAGTCTTCAAGGCTCGTAACCTCCCACGCAGGCGTTTTTAGGGGAGCTCGTTTTTTTAGGGGAGGGATGAAAAACGAGCTCCCCTAAAAACGCCTGCGTGGGAGGCTACAAGGCTGGAAGAGCGAAATATATTTCGAGGATTTTACAACTCGTCAGTCTTCGAGGCTCGAAGAGCAAAATATATTTCGAGGATTTTAAAACTTCCGGAACATTTTCATTTTTACATTTTGCATTTGGTATACGTGCGTCGAATGTGGTAAAGACGTGATGTCGTATTTTGCAAGTAGTTCAAGTTGTGAAATTTCTGTTAGAGAGGTTTCGTTTGAATCGTAACACCATAGGATGTCATTCACAGACTCAAAAGTTAGAACGTTACGCGCCTGTAATTAACTCTCAGGGTGAAGGGGTAGTACATTCGTGCAATATTCTTGTTCTTTGCCTCTAAAAATCGCAATAGTGTTTTACAATTGAGTTCTTTAGAGAACAAACCCAAAGAACTACTCTGGCTAAAATTGCAAGGAAAAGGGGCAATCAAGTCTCTAGTCAATTGCCTGTAGGAAAATACTCCTGAACAAGTTACAGTTGTTTGTTTGGCCCTACTTCTGATTGGTTGAGAAAGAAGGGCAAGACTTTTCACCCAATCAAAAAGCGTCGTAATACAAACAGCTTGAGGGTTTATACGAGACTTGAAAAACCCCTTGTTTTTTGATACTCATTCCAATGTTTTGCCAAGGCGCTTATGGATATTTGGATTGATACTTTAAAATGCAGCGATATTGGTTTGCATTTTAAAGAATCTCTTTACCAACCCTGAAGCTGCCCAGCTCTCCAGGCAAGTTTTCTGTGGGCTGTTTTTATTTCTTGGCGGCTGGTTTGTATATTTTGTATAGTTTTCAGAACAAAAGTGCTTGAATAAAACAAAGGACTTATTTATTGTGTTCGTGGGCGCGAGATTATACAGTCATGTACAGTCTTGGTGTGTTCATTCGATGTGTACAAAAATGTAAATAGGAATGAATGATTAAAAGTTATTACTACTACTTTTGGGAGATTACTGAAACTTCCTGAAAGAAGCTTTCTCTCGTTGCTAAACCGAATTTTTATGTTCACCAGTCGGCTGTTTTGATGGGGTAACCATGCGTTGTTAATCCTGGCTGCGTCCCTCGGGGAAAGGTTGATATGATAAGGTATTTCAAATTCAAACTTATTGACTGTCCAAACTATTAAAAAAAATTGTTGTCTCGGTGTCAATCCCGGTAGCACGATGCACATGGAGGAAGCAGCGAATTTAATTTGTTCTCTGCAGCAGACGCTGGGTGACCTTGACACAGTTCTAGCTAACGTGAATGAACGTAGCAAACGAACGATTTTGCATATCGAGACAGCGGCTCAACGAATTTTGCAGACCGTAACAGAACACAGGCACAAATTGGTTTCTAAAGTTAATGAAATAACGGAGGCAAAGCTTCAAGCGCTGCAAGCAGAAAAGGAAAGCGTTCAGGAAAATTTTAGAGCTGTTGAAAACGTTTTACGTTCTGCTCAGAGTACCAGTGTTGTTGAAGATTCTGAAGAATGGAATGTCGCGTTAGCAAAGCAGTTGAGTGACTTGAAAGAGCAGGATTTCGATTTCCAGGTGTATGACGAAGATATGAGATTTCATTTTCTGTACCGAGATGAAAAGCTATTGGCAGCGATTTGTAAATTCGGAGAGGTATTTACCATTGCGAATGACCATCCGCGAAACTTGGATGGAACTGGGACATGCCTGCTACAACAAAAAGAACCAGAGGCACTACCAAACAATTGTGAAGAAAGGGAATTCACTGACAGAGGTGAAAGCGGGCCTTCTGTAAAAGAATTTCAAGGCGAAGTGAAAAATCCAGACCAGAATACAGAAACACAATGTCCCTTCGAGGGAGAAGTTCTGAACTGTGAGCTCTCCAGCGAAACGCAGCGCGATGGGGCTGAATTGGTACAAGTTGATGCGAAAAACAATTCTCTCTCCCATGGCAGTATGATTTCGAATGTCTTCGAGTCCGAACTGATAGAATCTCGAGAACATGAAGGCGCTCCAGGTCAACCAGAAGAAAGGTTAGATGTGGAGTTCTTGCACGAAGACCCCAGGGAATGCCAGGAGGTGGCTGGAAATGAAGTCAATCACGACAAGACCTCAGTACCGAAGTCAAGACCAGAGAGTGAAGAAGGAAATTTTGATTCCAAGAGCTGTGAGCAAGTTGCACAGGACTATAACTTGTGCTCAGATGTGAACGAGAGGAAAACAAGTACTACATTGACAGAAGATGGACACAACTGCGACCTTTCAGGTCCTGATTTAAACAAAGAAGGAGGGGCAACTTTAGCCGAAGACAAGGAAGTTATCAACGATTTGAACAACAACGAGAAGTAAGACGAAGATGAAAACAAAACGGATCAAGCTTCAAACGAGGATTAATCGTCGAGATACCTTGCCTGCGTAGCAAGCGTTTCCGAACGAGTTATTGCGCGAAAGTAGGAGTGAGAGCAAAAAAAAATGGAAGAAGGAGGAGGCTTTCGTCTCAGACTTTCTCGGCGAATCGAACTCGCACGGAGACGCTTGCTATGTAGGCTACTAGATACCCACTAAGTAACATCAGCATTGATGACCCGACATGTGTTTTCTGTCTTTCTGCGAAGTTTTAACAAGATTTCAACGGACATCATCTGACCAATTAAAGTATAACAACGGGGAACGTAATTAAAGTTTCTGAGCGTGCTACCTCTTACCCATTTGCTTCTTAGAAATTTCGGCAGAAGTAAAGCGGGAAGGGAACGCTTCAAAAGCGCAAAGGATCATGGGAACTCCGAAGGCTTACCGTGAAATGAGGAACGGTTCCCCGTTTTTCGCCCTTCCCAAGAGCTCCTCGCGCCACGACTTCCGCCGAAAACCCAAGGGGCAACTGAGCGCGAAGTTTTAGTCAGCAGTGCTAAAGCTTGGGGTGAGTCGGTAAACATACAACTGATGAACGCGTCAAAACATGCAACTAGTGTCCAGGACGCCGGACAGGACGGAAACGTGCAGCGTTTCAAGATGCGAAAACACGCAAGCGTTGTAGAATACCAGGAAAACAGTTCGCGAAATATAAGTAGTTTATATAAAGTGCGGGGAAACATGCACCTGTAAACCAAACGCTGGCAAATGGCCTGGCCCCAGTTGTTCAAAAGGTGGATAGCGCTATCCACCGGATATATCACTATCCAGTGGTTAAGTATTAAGGAGACCAATTGCGTTATCCAGTGGGTAGAGATAATCTCTATCCACTGGATAGTGCAATTTGTTTTCCCTAATACTTTTCCACTGGATAGTGATATATCCGCTGGATAACGCTATCCACCTTTTGAACAACCAAGGCCAGGTGAAGAGACACTTGTTTATAGTTTCTTCCTGTATTATTGTTTGTGTGAGAGTAGCGAGTCTCGACATATTTCATGATGACTCACAATACGGGAGACGGTGTCACAGTGCTTAGTGCTTTAGACTCTTTATCAAGGGATCCAGCAGGTTCAAGCCCGGACGGGGCGACTGTGTTGTGTTCTTGGACAAGACACTTCTCACTCAGTGACTTACTTCACTTAGCGGTATGAATGGGGACCGGTAAATTTAATGCAGAGATTAACCCTGCAAAGGAGTAGTATCCCATCCAGGGGGAAGGGAATAGAAATTTTCCTAGTGGCGGAAACCAGTTCAAATGTTAGAAGTTTTATCATTTTGCCATCGGAAAAGGGCTTAGCCTCCTGCAATAAAATTAACCGTGCTAACTTTTCTGGTGAGAAAATAAAGGTAAAATGGAGCCTTCGGGGCTGTCTATTTTCTTAGAATCCTCTAAAAAAAGTTAAGTCGAATTTCGTTCTCTCATCTAAAGATCTTAAATGTCTCTTTCGTTTAGGTCCATAACAAACGCACAAGTTAGGCCTACTTGTGTATCTTGCCCGCTCGGGATTTTCCGCCTGATCTGCAAGAACGTGAAAAATGGCTCTTTGTCATAAAACAAATCCTTGTTTCCTCAAGATAGATATGCGTCGTTTACAAAGAGTGAGGTTAATATGGCTGTATATTAGCCAGTTATATTTTGCGTTTTTACTGACCGAGACATTGTCTAGGTCAATGAAAACGCCAAAACGAACGAGGCCAATATACAGCCATCTTGACCGAACAAGCTTGGTCAATAGAGGATTTATTATATGGTCAAAAAGAGGACTTTTTCTTGCGGGACTAACAGGGGAATTCTTGCCCGCTTGGCTAGCCAATCAGAACGCAGGATTCGCTTCATCTTGCCTGCTCGCAGGTTCAGCCATATAATAACGCTGAATATTGATGAACCTTGTTCTTCTTTGCGTTTTTGTTGACATCGACTTTACAAATGTATCTCGGTCAAATGCTTGGCTAACAACGCATATTTACTAATGCTTCAAGAAGCACACATGCTTTCGCTTCCTTGACATAAGTAGATTTTTATTATTATTTTATAAATTACCAGCTGCAACATTAAAACAAACGTTCTACAGTTCTGTTTCTGTGGTAGTAGTAGTAGAAGGAATGCGATTAGATACCACAGATTCGACTCCAGATACGTCGGAATGTTTATACTTTGTTCTGAGGCTAATAACTTTTGAGGTACTAGAAAAAAAGAGGATATATTAAAATAACTTTCTGGATAATTTTCAACGTATTATAACTCCTTTATCAATAACTCAGTTAGAATAAGGACTAAACAGACCACGACTGTTTTTACTTAAAAGTGCCGAGGGTTGTTTATTAGACCAGAGGCGTCTAATAGAGTGTGACGTCTAATACAAACTTAAGAGGGAACCCATCAGCAAACTGAGTAATTTTAATTTTCAGTGGACAAAAACCTTTAACAATATTACATTCTTTTTTACATTTTTCAAGGGCTATAGATGTAATTAATCATTTGTAATAACACCAAAGAAAATTTCTTATGGGAGCCCGAGAAAATGAATGTCAAATTTCACAAAATTACATCTTACACAATGAAATTTTCCGAATTTTACCTGTGTAATCACAATTCTTGAGAAATTTGACATTCACTCGGAAATCCATGAGAAATTTTCTTTGGTGTTACTACAAATGATTTATTACCTCTTTAGCCCTTGAAAAATGTAAAAAAGAATGCAATATTGTTTGAATTGTTCTGGTACAAGGTTTTTGTCCACTGAAAATTAAAATTACTCAGTTTCCTGATGGCTTCCATCTTAAAAGTGTAGAGGGGCGTTTGGTAGAGGCGTTTATTTGAGAGAGGACGTCCATTAGATCATTTACGGTATAGAAGATACAAACAAGCAAAGAGTTGCAAGAAAAAAAATTAACAGAAATTTTCTCAGCCAATGAATACTACCCGTAGTCAATCTTTTTAAAGAACTAATGTTTAAAGCGTTAATTGAGTGGTGGTATACTGAGGAGGCAAAGACCTGGGAGTTTTGTGGCAAGTTAGGGTTATGTTTGGCAGTTAAATTAAAAATCGAATAATTTTGCGAGTGTTAATTCCGAGCACGATATTTAGTTAAAAAAAAAAAAAACACCAGTAGCAGTTCAAGTGACTAAAAAGCCCAGTCCATTGTAACTAATCGCATTCACATACTACAGTACTTATCTAATAGGCTCTATTTTAAGGCTCTCACGTTCCTGTTCTCTCTTGTACCACGGCCTGGAGTGCCCAGCGATCCCGGAAGAGCCTGTAGAGTATGAGGTAGTTAAACGTTAGAAGACCCGTGACCGAGAGGAGCTGGTGCCAAGAGTGACATCGCGTTATCATAAAAAGCTGATATAACACCAGTAAGAGGAGAACTGCAGCCATCCAGTTGATAAGACGCAAAGGAGACTCGAACATGAACTGTAAACAAAAGGAAGACACTGTTAGGAAAATGGTCAAAACTATTGTACACAGCCGAGAACCACTGCAGCATCTCCATGTAGCGCCTTCCCCAATTTGAATAGTGCTCATTATACGTTTCTGGGGAAATTGCCCACCTACCCCTCCCCTAAGCCAACATTTTGCCCTAAGTGAGAAGCAAGTGTTAATGTTGGCTTAGGGGAGGGGTAGGTGGGCAGTTTCCCAGAAACGTCTGATGATCCCATGCGTTCATATCTGCATAGCCTCTTCTTTTGCTGGCAGAAATAAAGGATACGATTTTAATGTCCCAGTGTAGTTTGCCTGACCATGCAGGGTTTAGACACACAAAATATTTAATTCGTACCTTAGATTTTTCACGCCAAAACTTTCTGCTGATCAGGGGTATCTGATGGATGGTGTCTTGCACAGCCCTACCAACCCTAACCAAGGTGGGTCTTCGTTGAAGACAATTGTTTTGCCCACTTCCCTTACTTTGATTCGATTATGGAAGTGAAACGCGAAAGATACATTTTTTCCCGAGTGCTGAGAAAGGAGAAAGATACAACTCTTCTTATGTGCTCTATTTCACCAAGGTTTATACAAACAAATACTTTGGAACATTTAGTACTTTATGTTCCGTCATCAATCTCATTGTACAGTTATGATGAAAATGGACGTATATTCTAAAAACGTACTATTCTCCCGGAGAAGGATACACAGTTTTTCTTCCATCCCACACTCATGTCATTGGGTATTCAAGGTTGGGCGGGAGACTGGGTCAGTGTTGTGTCGAAATGGCTGATGGGACTGTTTCGGAGGACGCTATCTCCTCTTTCATTGGCTATTACAAAGTTGCGCGGGAAAATGGGTCTGAAAGCGTCCCCTGCAATAGTCCCACAATGCAGAAATTTAGACCCCCCCCCCCACCCCAAATCAAAGATGGAAAAATGGCGCGTTTTGTTCATCGGGCGGCTTTACACATGTTGTTCTGCTGGGTTACTTACAAAAAACCTTCCATGATGAGAGTCTCCAGGGATTGCTACATTATGGATACCAAGTGCTTTATAGAGAAGTTTACCATGCCGCACTAGAACCCCCTGAGGCCATACTGTTAACGCCGACCATCTAGAGGAAGAAGCAGAAAACGAGACTGAGTCCAGCGCTGGTCGGCGATTGTAAACACATTCTTGCATTAGTATAGGTAATAGCATGATTTGTAGTGATATTTGGTATAAATACCACAAGTGATATTTCAAAATTGTTATACGTAAGTTCACGAGCCGTTAGGCAAGTGAAACTTGAGACAATTTTGAAATATCACGAGTGGTATTTATGCCAAATATCACGTACAAATCATGCTATTTTTTGTTTACACTACTACCCACAAAGAGTTTGTAATTTTCACATGTAGGTATTTCAAATTAAGCTGAAATACCACTGCTCTAAGCCAATCAAATTGCAGGAAATTTCTCATGTAGTAGTATAAGCTTTGTTCTTTGCCTGATTTCTCTTTGCAGGCTCTGTTCACACTTGGTGCAAGAGAAATGGTGTCCGCGGACGGCAGTAGCTTAGCTCTAATGCGTCTCGTTCCTTTCTGTTGCCGAGGGTGTAGTCACCGAAGGACGTGACTTTGAAAACAAACAGACAATCATACAAAACACACTAACTAAACATTCCCCACAACACACAGCAAAATGGTCAATACAATACCAAGAAAAAACCCCTTACTTGCATTCTTTCTGGAAGTTACATCACTGTAAAACTTACAACTTTACAATTCTAAGTTGAGACTTAGTAGTCAAATTAGTTCGACATTAATACTCGTAAGGGCTACTGATAGTAATGTCAATGACCAAGTAACACAGGTGAAGTATAATGATTAACTTACACATGCGGCGTATCTCGATGACCACATGGATATCTTTCCCATCCCCCAAGATGCAGCGCGCACTTGTGTAGAGCGTCACAGTAGGTCAGCGGTAACATGAACATCAAAAGCATTAGCAGTGAACTCAGCCATACAAACAGTGTGTGCTGACACGCCCACCACATGTCATAATATATGTAATGTTGCTGTGAAAAGATCAAAGAAAGGATCGACAAATGGTCAAGAAAATGGCCCTTTATAGCTTGTTAATCACGTGGTACAAAACTGCCATGCTGGAGAGCAAGAGACGCACTGGGAGAAGACAAAAATTACCATATTAACCCCTTAAGTCCCAATATACATGTACAAATTCTCCTAACTGATCTCTATGCACTTCCTTAAAGAATGAGTTGAGAGAATTTGATAAAGATCATAGCGTTTTCTCTTAGGTGATCATTTTATTAATTCTCATAACCTAATCTCTTGGCAATGTATGGATATTGTTGGGAGAAAATTGATGTTGGTCACTATTAGGACTTAAAGGGTTAAAAGATGTGAGATCTTGGTTTTTCGTGCATCCTTTCGTCAACAGCGTGGTAGTTTTTAGTACATGAGTGACTAACTGCAAAGCATCTATTGTGCTGATACAGACAAGGCTCCATGTGAGACCGCCTCCCATAAGTGACCAGCTATCCAAACCACCAAACTTTTTCCAGTCAATCCCTTTGGTTGGAGCCTCTCATACATGATCACCTCTCTAAGTCAACACGATCACTTCTTTGGGTGACAGTTTTTCTAAACCTCTTGACTCATGATCTGACCTCTATGTTCACTGTATGTACTACGCTACTTAGAGTATATGAAGAACTTTACATGTAAGTGACAACATGGAACCACACACATTGTGACTTGGTGCAATAATTTTTTCCAACAGGTAAATACGTCGAGACCTCTACCTTGTTTGATTCTCAAAAGTGACCACTAAATCTTCGCATTTTGGGTGGCTACGTGAGAGAGGTTTAACTGTAATTACTACGAACCTCTGTCCTTACTAATTAATAAGTAAAATAATGACCTTTTTAGAAGTAATATTTCTCACCTCTGAAAATTTCATTGGAATGAAACCAACATAATAAGCACAAATTAGAGATTGAAATAGAACTTGTTTAATCCGCAGGTTGAAATCTGTTCGGAGACATTCCGTTTCATATCGAACAGCATCAGGAGGGAGAGAGCACGGCTGGGGAGCTGGAAGTTCCTGCTTAGCATTTCCATTGACCATAACACCTTTGTGCAGTAATGTAGTATGTAACAACTGTAGCTGGGACAGAGCGCCAAGCTCTTGATGAGGACTTAATTTCAACATGACTTTACTTCCTTGGGGATCCAACGTGAAGCCGAATGTGAATAAATACATTACCAGCCTACAGAAACAAAGGTAACACATCTCGTCTCAGTTCTTCAAAATGTGAACAGCGTAAATGATTAAACGCTGCAAGTTTATTACATTTTTATTCAAAGGCGGTCAAAATCACATTTCTTTAATCACTGACAACATTAATTGCGATAAATCATGGGTAACTACTACGTAAAACAGACAGATGTCAAAACTTTCACTGTCTCTCTTTTTTTGCTGAGATAAAATTGTAATTATTCAGGTGGTGTGGAGAACAAAGTTTTATCATTTTTTCTTATAATTCTGACATAAATGCAACATTCGTCTGATTGAATGCATGGGCAGCATTTAGGGGTAATTTTGTTTCCATCCACAGTGTTTACAGTCGACTCTCTCACCGACACACCTCTATAAGATGGACACCTCTGTAAAATGATCACCTAGAGTTGGCTCCTCCCTTTCTTTACTGTCGACCCTCTCTTATGGACACCTCTATAAGATGGACACCTCTGTAAAACGATCACCTAGAGTTGGCCCCTCCCTTTCTTTACTGTCCACTCTCTCTTATGGACACCTCTATAAGATGGACACCTCTGTAAAACGATCACCTAGAGTTGTCTCCTCCCCTTCTTTACTGTTGACTCTCTCTTATGGACACCTCTATAAGATGGACCACCTAGAGTTGGCCCCTCCCTTTCTTTACAGTTGACTTCCTCTTATGGACACCTCTGTAAAACGACCACCTAAAGTTGGCCCCTCCCTTTCTTTACAGTTGACTCCCTCTTATGGACACCTCTGTAAAACGACCACCTAAAGTTGGCCCCTCCCTTTCTTTACAGTGGACTCTCATGGACACCTCTATAAGATGGACACCTCTGTAAAACGATCACCTAGAGTTGTCTCCTCCCTTTCTTTACTGTTGACTCTCTCTTATGGACACCTCTATAAGATGGACCACCTAGAGTTGGCCCCTCCCTTTCTTTACAGTTGACTCCCTCTTATGGACACCTCTATAAGATGGACACCTCTGTAAAACGACCAACTAAAGTTGGCCCCTCCCTTTCTTTACAGTGGACTCTCATGGACACCTCTATAAGATGGACACCTCTGTAAAACGAACACCTAGAGTTGACCCCTCCCTTTCTTTACAGTGGACTCTCTTTTAACAGACACCTCTGTAAAACAACCAACTAGAGTTGGCCCCTCCCTTTCTTTACAGTCGACTCTCTCTTATGGACACCTCTGTAAAACAACCACCTAGAGTTGGCCCCTCCCTTTCTTTACAGTGGACTCTCTCTTAATGGACACCTCCACAAAATGGACACCTGTACAGCTGCCTCCTTTTTTGTCAAATCCCCAATGATGCAGCACCAGAATTCCTTTATTCAATCTGCTGCTTGACTACCAGCCAAGGCTAACTGCACAACATGCTGGCTAACGACACCTGTACCAAATGAAACAAGTACTTACGGATAACAGAGGAAGAGGCAATTAGGAATGCTGTTCTGTTGAATAAGCCTCCAAGACAACAACATAAAGCCTGCCACAAGTAGGAGAAGCAATGCACCCTTAATGAAGATGACAGCAAAGTACCTGACAGTGTAAAGAACCTCAGATGCCAGGGCCTGTAAACAACACATCAAGTAATATCAATATTAACGAAAGACAACTTCACTTTGAAGAGATTCGTAATTTTAAGGAGACAAAAATTAATTGATTAAGGGCAATAGATAAGATCGGAAGGTGCTTTCATGTGGCGGTAAGTGTGGAAGTGGGGGTTGTAAACTTTTGTGAATTTTTTCTTTGGCCACAATTAACCTGGGTAGGTTTAAGACATTAGGAACACCTTTAAAAGTTAAAAAAAATAAAAACATTCTTCCACAGTGACTTTCTGAACAGGGTGGCCATGGTCATCTCCTTCAGTCTGCAAACCTTTTTAAAAGCTTTTCTGTGTGGAAAAGTTTTAAAAAAAAATTCTAGAGCACTTGAATAAAAGTGACTTGGACATTACCTGGCCAAGCATGTTCCAAACTACTCTCCTGCTCAGGAAGATAACAATGAACCAAACAAGATGAACATCAACCATGTGAACATTCTGCAGTGACAGACGCAATAAATTAATTTATGTCATCCGACCAAAAAGTTAGTCACCATGTTCACCTACCTTCCCAATCTTTTTCAACTGGAGTGAAAAACACACTTAACAAACTTAAGGTTGCCCTTAACTCCTGTTGAGGGTCATTTAAATTTTACGTCACTTCATAAATATAACTAAATTTTAGTGATTAAAAATTTCTCTCTTCGCACTGATCTATTTAAAGGCCACTCCCTCCCAGCAAACTGTATTATTTGACACAAAATATATGTTGTGGTACAATTTTATCCTTGGTTTAATTTTTATTTCCCTTTGTTTTGGGGCATGGTTAGTAATATATGATAATGAGTTTGAAACAAAGGGAAATAAAAATTAAACCAAGGATAAAATTGAACCACAACATATATATTGCTTCAAATGTCAACTCAATGCTTGTCATTAGGGCCTGAAAAAAACTTGTACCACACTTTGTGACTAGTTAAAATTTCTCTTTTAATCACTGCCCATAACAGTTATTACATAACAGTTATTTTACAAAAACAATCAAAAACTTGTTCTGTGTTTGCATGGCCTGATATAAACATTTGAGAGGTTGGGAGAATCCAAGACAGTTAAGCAAACCCAAGGTCCTGAAACCATGCCGAGAAATAGGGCAATGTTTTAAAGAAAGTGTACATGGAGGTAAACTTGTAAAAATCTTGGAAATATTTTGAATTAATGATAAAACATTAAGGATCTGTGGATAACAACTTCTGAGATCTGCATAATTTCTTCACATCATACGAAAGCCACAATCAATAACTGCTAAATACGACAGTGTATTAATATGGAACCAAAAGTCAACTGATATGCCATCAACATCTCATGGTACAGTAAAACTAGCTGTATTGACTGAGTGTTGTCTGGCATACCACCCAAGTATCGACTATGTATAAGCCAATATGTCAGTGGTCACTCGCTCGACATGTTGGCTGACACAACGGTTGACATGTGGGTCACATTAATCAGCTGAGTGTTGGTCCACATATATATGACAGCCAACAAGCCGATTGATACTTAGCCGAGGGGTGGCCAAAGTACCCAAGACCACTAAATACTTGGCCACTAATAACACTGCAAGTGACGTACTACGAGATTCACACTTACACTTACTTACTCCTAAAACATTGGCATAGTAGAAGCTGCCAAATGAGTCAATCCAAGCAAAATTATTTTTCATTTCTGGAAAAATGCTTGAGCACGCATGTTTTGTTTCAAAAAGTTAATGTGCAAGTCAGCAGATGCAGACAAAAACCATTTCCAGCCTCTGTAGTTATAATAACACTTTATGAATTTGTAGGATATACAATTGTAACTACGATTTTCTTGTAGGCATAGTTGGGATATATTATTATTTTTCTTTTTGTCTTTCTTATATTCTTTAGTTTTATTACTATCCCCAGCAAGCAGAGATATTAAACAATTTGCAGGGACGGGGTGCACAAATGTCCAGCACTGGCTTTAAGATCCCTACTTTCCTTTGTTGTCCTTAGTTCTGCACTTCTCATACGTGTGGAAGTGTGGAAGATCCCTAATTTCCTTTCTCATTCCAAATTCTACACTTCTGCGAGCTATGGAAGTATGGAATAGTCTGACAAACTGAGGATATTGTGAGTCACACTTTTTCCCAGTCATGAACCCCTCGTCTCTCTTTACTTCGTTCTACACTTTTCAAAGTTGTGGAAGTGTGGAATAATCTGACAAAGTCAGGACAATATGTCACACTTTTCCGCCAGTCACGAACTCCGTGTCATTCTTTACTTAGTTCTACACTTCTCAGAGGTGCGCAAATTGTGTGGAATAGTCTGACAAAGTCAGGGTAATGTCACACTTTTCCTACTGTTACAAACCCCTGTCATTCTTTACTTAGTATACATTTTTCAGAGGTGTAGATGTGTGGATAAATCTGACAAAGTCATATATGGCTTATGGCAATTTTCTTTCTTAACTCGTAGCATGAAAAGGAAAAGTGTTCATGAAAGTACAGCCAAAGTCTCTCAGACAGAAAGACCTTGCTCTGAGGCAAACTCCCCCAGGAAAATCAAGAAAATTTGAGAAAGAGGTGGGGCGGGAGGCAGGGAGGGGTAAACAAGCAAATTTAGAATTGTACATGTCGCAGAGATAGCTTAAATGCTGGCCAAATTAAAAAATAAATAAAACAGGGAAATTTGGTTTAAGGAAATCCAACAAGGGATCAAAAACAACAAGGAAATCTTATCTGCGACAAACAGCTATATGGCTAAAATACGGAAGTGGATGTTCTAAAAATAATAAAGAAAATTATACGAGAAGGTGCTTTTGAAGAAGAGAAAAATAAAACCCAGATTAAACTTTAACACCGAGTTAGGGCTAATCAGCCTTTGAGCAACTGGGTCCAGGCACATAAAAAAGGGTTTTTAATGTTGCTTTAAAATAAATTTTAAGTTAAATAAATAATTAACCATGAACAAAGTGGATTAGGTATCGGTATATTGTAGGGTATGGAGCAATTTTGTTGGTAATTTCACCCATGATCCAAGCAAATACAAGTTTTTGGTAATAGAGCTGCCTTTAACTTCTGTGAATGCTTCCTAATTAACTAAACAAACTAAGGTAAAGCCTTCTTTTATAGAATAAATAAAAATACTAAATTACATAGAAAAGAACAACGACAGATTGTTTGTTAAATTAGCATAAGAATCCATTTTCGTGATAAGTAATGTCAAATTAAAATTCAGCAGTAATCCTAGACTTGTTCATAATATGCAAATCGATTATCACTCGGCAAGATTATTATAACCTACATGTACACTAAAATGTTCATTCAAAAACGTTATAAACCTTCTACAAAGGTAACTGTCTCTAAAAGTTGATTTCTAAGGATGGCTTCAAACTCAATAAATGGTGACACCTGGTGCTCAAAAAGGATAAAAATAATACTTTAAGTGAAAATTAGTGTTTACCCCATGGAAGTGAATAACAATTAACTGGCGAGCAGCTGACTACAGCTTGGCACTGCCATCCAATTTCATCAAGCACTGCATCAAGCGAAGTAATCATTCACAACACTATTATTCCATAAAAACTGAACTCGGTTAAAATATTAACAAAAGAAAAGCACGTACCGTTTTGTAGATGTTGACATGTTGAAGTATCAGGGCACATACAAGGTATGAAAGGAATAAAACTTCAAATCCCATTGATGTAAACACCGGTAGGCTTGGGTGAGGGTAGTGGTATAGAGGAGGGATTGTTAACAGTGATGAAATCGAGTGTATTCCGCCGTTGGGTGGGAGTGATCCGTTCCTGGGATGAAAAAGGCAAAAAGTGAAAGTGAAAGTTAAAATGCCAAAAGCAACAAAACGAGTAGCTTAATATATGGCACTACTAATGACAAGCAAGTCTGGAACACTTCTGCTAACAATACTAATAGTTCGCACCAGCGCGATTTTTTCTCATTCAGACAAAACACAGACTAAAGACAAACTCTCACTGTAGTGAAAAGAAAGAATTTAACCCAGGCTAAACGTAAGCTTACCTACAACCTCGTACCGCCGTCTGAAGACTTCGAAAACTCGAAGGAGAACTCGCCTTTAAACTGGCAAATTTTCTGCCTCCCGGCATCAAACGATAGAGCCACAAGAAAATGTGATCCACGATGGAAGAACTGGCAACCAGATAAATGATGAACGGCCAAAGAAGCGTTCCAAACATCTACATTTGCGATATCTTTCCTTCAAAATGTCTCTTTGTTGTAAAAACCACGAAGCCTTCAACCGTGTGGGTGTTAACCGCTGTACCTGATAATGACACCTCATAACACAGTGCGCCGAGGAGGGAATGATTTGGTTAAGACCTGGCACTCAGGTACTTAACCGGCTATTTTGCTAGTTTCGAGGCAGTCCACTGCTTTGTAATCCCTGCTAAGCTTACGTTTCAAAATGGCGTCTGGTAGGGCAAAAGGGAGTACCTATGTACGGCAGGTGTCAACACAACACCATTTTGTGCAAGTATCCAGGCGCTAGTTGTCGGCGACCAAGTGTGGACAGCCCCTAAGATTGAATAGGGATAACGAAAATAGTAATGGTCAACTGTTTGTGCTGTAATGTTGGTAGCCTGTGACTAAGCTCTCTGGAGTGCTCTGGCGGCGGGGCCATTCCTTGTGAATCCTTGACGCAGATTTTTACGCTTCCCATTCCTTCCCCCTAAAAGTTGGGAGAGCTTGCACGAAGGCTATAGTGTGGGCTTTCAATATTTGCGATAAAAGTATCCAGCTGGTATTTCCGCGCTCTAACGCCCCCTCCTCGAATCCTCATATACTTACCGTAAATGACCCAATGGACACCAGGGGCGTCTACCTCATTTTAGGTAGCCCGCAAGCAAGGTCTCCCACTTTGGCGAGCGAAGCGCACACTGTAAGCGAGACGCAAGAGAAGGAGGGCGTTTAACAGATGGGAAGGCGTTTATTCTCGTAAGCATAACAATAATCTGAATAAACTGAATAATTTTACCTTATTTCGCTATTTCCTAGATGATTTTGATGCAATTGTCATGCGGGGCGTTTATTGGGAATGGCTCTTGGTAGGGGGTGTTTCTTAGAGAGGGGCTTCTTATACAAACTTAGAAAAGGAGTAGACAAGAGGCGTTTATTTGAGAGAGGGCGTCTATACGATCAATTTTGAAGAAACTGTGCACCTCACATAATCGAGTGAGTAGCCTGTTCCAGGCTCTCAGATAGTGGAGAAGACGCGAAAGTAAAAGGTACTCGAAAAGGGGAGCCCGGTTCTTTTTTCACGTTCGCGCTTTCTCAATTCAGCAGACCCGACCATCTAGGAACCTTGAACAGGCTATGGAGTGAATGGCAATGTTTATCAACGAATATTTTGATAAACTTTACAACGAGGTGGGTCAGTATACAACATTTACGGTATTTTTTAAATCACTGACAACAACCAGGATAAATCACTAATTAGTAAATATTATGTAAAACGGGATCGAGTTATACTGTATGGCTCTTTAATGATGTAGAAGAGTGTTTGTTTGACTTTTGATAGATTTCAGAGTTGTGCAAAACTTTGAAATGCTCGAATAAAAGCCTCATTCTTCTGATTGAGTGAGGCGTTTACTCGAGGGCGGGGTCTGTTGGTTATTTTGCTTCCATCTGTGGCATTTCATTGAGGGGGGCGTTTAATAGAGTAGTACGGCGAGCGACTCTTCCGGGTCTGCTCCTTACTTTTCACAAGCAAAGCGCCTTTTTGCTCGTTTAATTTCCACCTGTGCTCTTTCAGAGTTCTATATAGCCTGCGAAAATAGCCTGCGTTGTCTCATCTGATCTGTCTTATTCTCAGCCAAGGAGACATCAAATTGCTTGAACTCTTGGTTTACTGTCTGTCTCAGGTGCTTGCTGGCAGAAGCTGTATTTTTCCGAGTTTGGCTCTCGATCTGCAGGGCTTTGAGGTCTCTATTGCAGACATCCTTGTAGCGAAGCTGTGGTCTGCTTGTGAGGCGAGTTCCCAGAGACATAAAGGTGCTCCTTAGGTATTCGGTTATTTTCCATTCGGACAACATGACCAAGCCAGTGAATTCGTCTCTGCTTTAAAGTGAAAAGACGCTTGGCAGGTTTGCTCTTTCCAGGACGTCGTTATTGGTCATCACCTTGTGCTGCCGCTTGATGTTTAACAAACGTCTGAGGCAGCGCATGTGAATTGCGTTGAGTTTGCATTCCTGGCGGGCATGAACAGTCCAGGGTTGCTTACCATTTGACAGAAAAATCCGTTCGGGGAGTCGAAAGCATAATGGTAAGCGATATACCAGTTTACCGCAGAATTGCTACATCCGTTACGGTTTGAATCCCAAAAAGGGCGAATTTGTGTAGCGCGAGTCTGGAACCGAGAAATTGGTTAATGGTAAGCAACATTCCGTTTGGTTTGTACGAACCGGAATGAACGGACTACCTCAAAACGTTCTCCTCAATTTTCGGTTGGAACCTTACCATTTAACTTCCATCCGGAATTTCCGAAATTTTCTGTCAAATGGTAAGCACCCCAGGACTCACTGCCATAAAAGAGGGTGCTCAACACGCATGCTCTATGCCCTTCTGTTCTGAAGGAGCTGTATAGTGAACCTACTAAAGAGGAACTGAAAGAACCCCTGAGGTCGCTTGCATCTGGAAAAGCTCTCGGTCAGGGTGGTATTCCAGCTGAAATCCTGAAATGCCGCAAAGGCGATGCCTTTACCAAGTTCTGCGGAATCTTCTGCCTGTGCTGGATGGAGGGGGAGGTACCACAAGACATGAGAGACGTAAACATAGCAATTCCATTCAAAAGCGAGGGAGACAGGGGAGAATGCAACGACTATCGAGGCATCTCACTCCTCAGCATCACTAAAAAACTCTTTGGTCGCGTCGCCTTGAAGATTTTCCAAGTGTTTGCAGAGCGAAATTTATCCAGGGTCACATTTTTTTCCGTGCCAAAAGATCCACAATTGATATGATATTCTCCATCAGATGACTGCAAGAAAAAACGTAGAGAACAGAGATAGCCACTGAACATCTCATTTAGGGACCTCATCAAGGCCTTTGACCTGATAAGCAGAGATGGGCTCTTCAAGAATCCCCCCGAAAACTGGCTGCCGACCGAAACTCCTCGATATAAGGCATTGTGGTTTTTGATGGCTCCACTTCTGATACCTTCTACATACGAAGTGGAGTGAAGCATGGGTGTTGTGGCTCCTACCTTTGCTTGTTGCCGATGATGTAGCAATTATTACACACTCTGACGATGAGCTACAAAAACTCATCAATCGCTTCAGCGCTGCTTGCAAGGACTTCGGTCTTCCTATCAAAGACTGGGGCAAGATGTCACCAGTCCACCTGACATCAAAATATTTGACCAGCAGCTTGAAGTTGTTCATGATTTAATAGACCTCCGCTCCTCTATCCGACAAACGGTCTCTCACTCGATAGTGAGTTGAACAAGAGAATGAGCAATACAGCATGCACTCTATAGCTTTCAGGGCTACTCCGGACACCTTTTCTCTCTGGCATACAGCTCAGAAAAATGTTCTACCCAGCGCTCTATCTGTTGCGCTCCGCCCTGGATTACCTCTTCTATTGCTGGATCCAATGCCTCTTTATGTCGCCTGGACAATTCTTAATTCCACGCTCTGGATTCCGGATTCCAGCTGATGAATTCTGGATTCCTTGTTAGTAAAACTTGTATCCCCGATTCCAATTGTTAACGGGATTCCGGGTTCCTTGAACTGAATTGTGGATTCCAAAGCCCAGGATTCTAGAATTAACAAGAAAACATTTCTCCGATTCCCGGCCGGAAACCCCGTTACCTTGCATGGGGCGATCGTAATCGTGCAGTAGACGTCACAGAAATGAACAAACCGAGGAGCTTTTGTTTTGTTTATTTTGATATTCTCGCAGTCGTTGATGGTTTGACACATACTACCCGGTGTGGAGACAGAGTTGCAGTTCCAGTACGGGGGAGCTGCCAATTTTATGACGTCAACAGCTTGCCCTGAACTTTCAACATATCTGATAATTGTTGCTAAGAGGTATTTTACGATGTTTAACACGTCGTGGTTTACCCTTACCAGTGACACAAGGCTTTGATAACTTCTTAAAACTTTTTTGTAGTTTAAACTAGTCCGGAAATGAGCTGTGGATTACGATCATTTAAAGGGTAAAATGACTATGAAAATAATGATGACCAGCTACGGCATTTAGATATTTAGGAGAGCAACATTATATTGATTTACACCAAATTTACACCGTCCAAATTTGGTGCAAAAATTGCAAACTAAGGTTAAATAAAGGGCGAAGAAGGTAAATACGGCATTTTCCCTCAAATTTACAACCCCATGTAAACTGGCAGGGTTAAATGCGGTATTTACTTCTCTGCTTTTGATTTCCCCCTCGTTTGCACATTTTTGCACCCTATTTGGGCCAGAGTAAATTTGTATAAATCGAACTTTTCGTGCAGTGATTTATTTACAGTTTGTCACCCGCGGAAGGCTGTTTAAGGGAAATGTTTCGTGCAGTTGTTAACGGTTGACTAAGTAAACAACTTCTAAACGAAAGCAATGGAAGAAGTGATGACAAGTGGTTCTTGAAAAAATATATGCGCACTTTAATGGAAAGTATATATTGTCGAATATAAGATTTTTTATACACAGTAATTTTAAGTGCAAACCTATGTATGCTGCAACTTGCTTTAATTGCCTTTGGTGCCCGCATAAGAAATCATGAGCGCTTAACCCGAAAAAGGTGTAGTTTTCACTAAGACAGCTTTGTAAACAAAGGGCAAGATACACAAAAGCTAACGTTGGACGTAACTGCTAACATCTGGCATTGAAATAAAGAGTTTGACTCTGGAGAACTTCATAAGGTAGCTGCTATGTCCCACCTCCCCCCCAACCCCTCCAACAAGAGGACTGATCTGACCAGTTACAGATCACCAGAAAAATCATGATAAAGCTCGGCTAGAAAGTTCAATTTATCGCGTTAACCATGTACAGTCAGAGTTTTATTAAGAAAAAATGTGTTAATGGTCATGTCACTAGCATTCCTGGTACAGAGAAACAAATCTTGATTGACCCGACAGGATTCAACCTATGACATCCCAAACACCATGCGAGAATTCTATTAACCAAGCCAAGAAGAGAACCACTTAGAGAGGGGGAAGCCACTATTTTAACTGGGTCCATATGCCACTCACGCCCTGCATACACGTACTGCTTGGTGATGGACTAAGAAAGATGGTAAATATTAAAGTTCGTTTGTGTTTTGGGTAGTGAATCAGGGAGATGCACACGAAGGCGGGTCAGATCGAGGTGGACGGTCACAGCTTCCTGGGGCGAACATCACCTACACGCCAATACGCACGCGCATATCTGAAATTGAGTCGAAGTAGCCTGAGAAAACAGCCGACGTTTGGCGACACTACCACTGGTTTCCCCGCCAAATGACGTCTGAGAAACGAGTGCAGAAATTCCATACTAATGACCCGTCACTACCCATATCTGGGTAGTGCTTCTGATTGATCGTGCCGCGTGGGAATTTGATTCAACCAATCAGAAGCACTACCCAGATCTGGGTAGTGACGCGTCATCAGTATGGAATTTCTGCGCTCGTTTCTCAGACGTCATTTGGCGGTGAGACCAGTTGTAGAGTCGCCAAATGTTGGCTGTTTTCTCAGGCTAGTGTCTAAGCCGTTGAAAATAGAACGATACTGGCTATCTTCTCTGGCAATCTTTCTATGAGGGAGTCTGTGATTAAATGTTTCCACTTGAGCAGATTCTAAGCGCGAGCGTTTGCCTTTTCGTTCTATCGACTACTGATGTTTCACTACTTCGAGGCAAAATGATTTTCTCTGCGTACACTACATGAAATGTTCTAGCTACGCCCCTGCCTTTGAATACAATCGAGAAATCAAGATTTTTCGTCTTTGCACACTATCGTTACATATATGATGACTGTGCTACCTTTATCGAAGACTACCGAGCTCAAAGTGTAACACAGTTCAAGAAACTATTTGTAACAAGTACGTAGCAACTTCGAGAGCAAATGGACGAATGATATCAATTTTATTTTAAGTTTTTAGTTTGCATTTACAGAATGGATGAGATAAATGTGAAAAAGGAAAGAAACACGCTATATAGTATTTTAATTACTCAAAAGTGGTGAACGTTGACTGCATCATAGTAGTATAGTAGCCACCACTTTGGTCTCATTTTAGGGAAGGAATTTACTATCTTAATGTTCACGAATAACTTGTACAGGAGTCTCATAAAGCGAAAGAAGAACTAAAAAATTAATGCTATATTGTTATGAATATTGAATGACTCCACAAGAAACCATATAATCGTAACAGCACCAGAGGGCGCGCGCTTGCAGGCAGCCAAACAAATTGTTTTCTCAAACAATTCATCTACGGAAGAATCCCATTAATACGGTCACTAATGAGTCCAAAACATTTGGCCGTGTTACTGAGGCAGGGTCAAATTTCATGACTTAAGGGTTGAAATGAAAAATACACCTGCACCATACAACGCATTCGCACTTCTTGAAGGAATGTTCTCTTTAATAAACAACCGGAAGTGTAGATATTGCGTACAGTTATTGTAAAAACTACTTTAGACTTTCCTTTCCTTTCCTTAGAAATTGGTTATTACACCGCCAAAAGCGCATTTCAAGTGTATTGTAGTCTAAAAACAATAAAAGAACAGGCTTAGCTTACTAAGTCAATGGAATTAACATGACAAAGGCATTTTAATTTTCTGATTTCGAATGAGTTGTCGTATTAACGCGGGGAAATTATAAAAGATTGTACTGCTAGAGATTTTAAAATGTGGCCGTTGGCGGTATTAAAGGAGGGACAGGATTAACAAGGGATTTTTAAAAGAACATTTATGGCCGGTTTTGCCGGGCCAAGAAAAAGTGACCGTAATAAGGAGGTGATCGTATTTCTGAGGAGGCTGTAAGCTGGGGTTGCACTGTAATAACAAGCTTTCTCGTTCTCATCGTGGGTACAAAATTGACTTACACACCACTTTCTACAGCCTCAATTATGGTAAAAGTTGTCATACGGAACTTGTAAATCTAGAGAGTCAGCTTTGTATTAGTATTACTGGGACTACACAGCTAAAGAAACGTAAATTTCTTTGTCTCAAAGTAGACTTTTATTTAAGGACTCCGCAATTTCAATGTCCTCGCTTCGGAGAACCTAATGAATAGACAGTTAGTGGGACGAGCGGGTCGATGAAAGCATACGCATGCAATGTTCGTCAGAATTGTTTTATTTTTTGTCACATTCAGAATCCAACTTGTTGCAACACAAAACGAATAGATGGAAAAGCCGAGTATTCAAGAAGTGCATCGAATTATTGTCAATTGATTATCCACTTTTTGGACGTTTCGTTTAAGGCTAGGTTACCTCAGTAGGGTGAACTTTCTTCTCTTTAATCCTTGCGCAAAGGGTACGCGCAGTTTGCAACATAGTCTTAAATTCTCGCTTTATCACTCGATTCATATAACCGTACAGATATGGATTGATAACTCCGTTGATATAATATAGTACTGACACCACATACTGTAACACCACAGGCGCTTCCAACCCTGAGTGAAAAGACCAGATATTTACAACCATATAGGGAGTCCATGATATGAATAAAACACCAACTATGCAAGCGAGCGTCAGTGAAGTTTTGATGTCCGCCCGCAGGGCAGAGTGGGGCTTGCGCACACAATACTGTCCAGTTGCCTTGATCGCTGATTCACCCGCTGATGATTCTGGCTCAAATGCTGAGTTCAGTTCTCGTTGCTGTAAAGCCTCGACTTCGCGCGCTATTTGTCTAGAATGACGTAATGCTATTCGAAGAATACTAATGTAAATAAAAATGATAGACGCCAACGGTAAAAAGTACAAGGTGGCTAGTTTAAAATAGGTAAAGCTAACTGCTATGTTGTAGTCTGTATCGCACAGCCATAGGCCGGGAGTGTATTGGTAACGACTCCATCCTATAAGGGGAAAACCTGCTGTTATCAGGGCATATAGCCAAATGCAGACGATGCTTGCTATTGTCCTGGTTTTTGTCACCCAGCCTTTGTATTTTAGAGGAACATTTATAGCAAGATATCTGTCCATGCTGACGGATGACAGCGTAAGCACCGACACAGTGCTTGATGCGTGCTGGAAGTAACCAATAATATCACATCCTGTCTTTCCAACGACGCTGGACTCCTGGATTAAGGAAGCGATGCCAAATGGCAGCAGAAATATTCCCACCATGATATCATTTATAGCTAAATTGACCAGGAAGAGGTGGGAGGGTGAATGTAGCCGCCTCACGCGGTAAATTATGTAACAAATTGTCGTGTTTCCGATTGCAGTGAGTATGATCATCAATGCAAAGACTACAACAAGTAGTGTCACCATGGTGATGTTAGTCCTTTACGCATGTGCATTTTCATCTCATCGAAACCGATTATGACAGTGTCTGTCACGAAGCTTGGATACCTGTTGACAGAAGAAAACATATTAACTTACACCGTTTACAGCAAAGGTTTTGTTTTGGGGAAATTTTAAGACTTTTTTCTTTCAATTGTAAAACTTCCGCGCTGCCTGCAGTTGCTTCTTAGAGGCAGAATACCTTGTCTGAAACTGAAGACCAAGCAAAGTATTCCTACAATCTTCTTATGGCCCTTTTAGTATTAAAACAGTCTTCACAATTCAAACACATTTCTTTGGTGTATTCTCTTTCAATTCATCTATTTAACTATTTCAGTGGCTTTTTGCGTCCATCAACGTAGTCTCAATCTAAAAGAAAACAACATGTAGCAGCGATCAGTCGACAAGCGTTTCCAGTTCTGCTTTTTTACTCTCGCCAAAGAAGGAAGAAAGGATAGGACACATCATAAGAAATAGGTACGGGGTAAGTGTTGTCTTGAAATCGCTTCAGTATATGTGGATGAGAAATGTACTCCGAAATACTGACTTGCGTAGAACGCCCTCCAGTCCCTCTTAAACCTGATCATTCAAGAATACTTTTTTGAGCATTTGCTCACATTTTATAAAAGTGGCTTAATATGGCCGAATTACCACGTGAAGAAATCCAAGGATGTGATTTGCTGAATTAAATTCAACGTAAATTGTTACTGACGTGCGTTAATCCCTGCTAAATCGAAAAAAAGTTGCATGATACGAAATGGACGCTGTGTCTTTCCTGCTTGTATACTGTGGCTGATTAAAGTTTCTCGTAACCGATGCGTGATAGTTTTTCCGGCCTCAGTCTGAAACGCGTGAAAAGTAAACAATAAACGAAAGAGTGACGGACGTGGTCAAAGTATCTTGGGACATAAAACATCCGAACACAAATACCAGTCTATCGTGGAGTGATTTTGCAATGACTATCAGAGATCCGATTAACATTTGTAAAGAGGCCTTTATAGAAATTGTGTGTAATAAAACATAGCTTGGCTGAAGCGAACAAGTTCCTTTAAAAGCTCTAAGATAGTCGACTTCATGGGAGACAGAGCCTAAGCTCATTCCAAGCCCCAAGCCTTTTTTTTTTTTTCAGTTTTTGTTGTTCCTCGTGTGTGTGCCCAATAGCCCCAGGTGGAGGGTACTATGGGAATTGTTGGTGGGGGGTGTGCCGCCCAGCTCTCCGAATCCTGACCCTATTTCAGACCACAAAATGTCATTTTCCACACCCGTTTTCAGAGTTGGAGGTGGTCACAAAACGCAACATACGTGTTTACATTGAGAGAAATCATGTCATCATTGCTGAGATTAGAACGCCAACAAAAAGATTTCTTTCTTTCTTATTCACTAATAATATTTATAATTGAAACGACGAACACACTCACACAGTATAGCCGTAGTTCCCTTGTAAATCATACCAGATTCCAGACCAAAATGAGCAAAGTCTATACTAGTTTACACATCAAAACTGCGCCAAAATATGCCCTTTGGGGCGGCATATACCTATATGGCCTATATAAGGCAGTACCCCACCCCCGGGCCAATAGCTAGAGAAACGCAGAGAGAATAAGGATTTAAGCGAAAAAGAAGCCTTTCACCGCGATGAGATTAAAATTCGTGATATCAAGATTATTTCCATCCGGTCTCGTCCATTTGCGGCTGTGCATATATAATTCCACAGAAAGCCGATCGCAGTCCACGATACGCCATGAGTTAAGCGCTAAGCCATGAAAAGGTCTTACCTTACTTAGAAATTTCATCATCTCCTCACAAAACAATACAAATTGCCTCTAAACTATAATCCAATCCGGCCTTAATCTAAAGGTTTAGCTTTACATCACTATTGTTAATTTATCTCTATGCACCTACTGGCGGATCTTAAACAAAGTTTCGTATGGTGCAGCCAGTTTGGCGACTGATCTCATTAAAAACACTATGTTGCTGCCGAGAGTGTCATTGAAAGTCAATTTCTGAAGAAAATTGAAATTTTCGAATGAACCGGCTGTTTTTTTAAGGTCTTGCTTACATGTTTTCCAGTTTTACTTGGTTGAAGCAGAGGTGGCCAAAATTGTTGTAGAACTTTTCTTTGTTTGTGTGCAATCGTCCTAAGTAACCTACCCGATAAACTTGGAAGAAGATGGAAAAACGGAACACTTTTTCTTAATGATCTAAATTCCCAAATTAGCATATCTTTAATTCTGACAAGTAGAAAAGCATTACCTTTTTCAATTGAGCTACGATATTAAATTCCTTACAAAAGTAATTGAACTTGTTGTTATTCAGTGTACTGTTTTAGGTTATGAAATGCCCAAAATTAGACTCCATATGATTCAGTCCTGGTTCAATATACAGGAATACATATGGTAACCAGGTTTTGAAAACTCTTATTACGGGCGATGAATTGTTCGATCTTGAATCCTGAGTCTGTTGACTATAAATTTCATTTCGAAGTTTAAAGTTTTCACTGGGTATTTCAACATAATCTTACCGTAGTGTTCGGATTGTCAGAATCTCCAGGCTCATAAAAATGTCTTGTTGTCTTCGTATAACACACATTATTAACCAACCAAGGCTGGCCACAGTTTGCTTTTAAAACCCACTGCCGAGAAAAAGAAATGAAAAGCTCATTGTTTATTGATACGCTATCCGCCTTGAAAGGCCTGAAAAACGGATCTCCAGTGGAGCTGTGTTGAGCGGTACAAGGACAATATAATATATTTTGATGATTGCCTATTGTTGGTAGTACAGCTCTTGTATGCAATAAAACAAACGTAAATTCACTACACGAAAAATGTTTTGGCATAAAACAATTTCATCACAACATAAGGAAATATGATTTAAAAGCTCAAGGAAGTATATAGCAGCTCTTGCATAATTGAAACCAGACTCAGTAATCGAGCTAGTCAGCACAAAATATTGTTTAAAATAATAGATTGTTTTTCAAATAGAAGATTCTCCATACTTGATCTAGAAATCTGTTGGGCAAAATATTAAAATGTATTTTACAAGCATTCAAAACGTCAGACTTATCTCCATTTGTCTCAAAATTTTCATTATTTTACTGCTGTATGTCTTATATTAGGGTACCCGAAGAAGAGCTGTCAGGTACCGGAAAATCGGAAATTGAAATGATTCAATCCACAATATATTTTCAAGATGGCTGCGTGTAGTAATCAAACAGCAAAACAAGAGATGACATATTATCGCCCTTCACAAAATTTGTGGAAAAGCTTCAGATCTTTGACGACTTTTTTGAGCAGCGCGTTCAGTCTCAATTTAGTATTACCAATTTCTCTTTAGCCACAATGTTTTTTATGGCCTTTAAACTACTTTTTTTTCTTCTCAAGAAGAAAAATAATAAATTTGTTGTGTTTACATTTCCTGTAAGCAGGTGACGACACCTGGATATGCCCTTTCGAAGCAGAGGTGGTATTTATTAACATTGTGTTGTTTAATATCGAAACAACTTCCAGTTTTACTGCACGTCATATGGACTTTTTGCTCTAACCCCTTGCGGTGAATATTAAAAAGCTTTTTACTCAAAATAACCAATTAATTGTATATTCTGTGGTGATGTTATTCTTTTGGACAAAAATGAAAGGATAGAAACTATTGCACTTACAAAACGCGTCGGAGCAAATTTTTTTGAATTTACACTTTGCTAGGTTTTCCTTAATAGTTCTCTTGAAAGATTTCGTTAAGGCTTCACATGCTTTCGAAGAAACACCCTCATTGCTTAGGATACAACTGATTGCCAGTAAAATGTTCAGTGATGCACAAACCAAACTAAATAACTGGCGAATTTTTCCTTTTTATTCAAAAGTACATTTGTGCTCAGTAAACAAAGCTAATTAGAACGTTTAGTTTTCAGTAGGGTTGAATATGACATACAAGCCAAAAAAGAAAGGCTGCCAACTCAAGACACAAGAAACGTTTGCAATGCAGAATGTGAATGAAATGGAATAGAATAGTTAATTCTCACCTACTAGCATCACTTGATGAACTACTTGAAATGCACACCAAACGATCGCTTGTGTTAGAAACAAGATAATATCATAGATATGACTCAGCTTTCCCTGTTATAAATTAAACAGTGAGGCAGGAGTCCTCTGGTTTGCACTGAGCTCCTAAGATAAAAACGCTTCAAGCCATAATTCAAAATAGGTACGAGATTAATGCTTACATCAGGGATACGACCTTTTATCTGTAACCATGGAACATCTGTAATCGTGGTTTTATGATTGGTTGGTTTCAAGAGTAACCTGCTTAGATGGAAAATATCACCAGAGCAGCACTTGAATAAAAACGCTATGCAAATTTTGGTTTGCGTAATTATGCAATTTTTTGGCTGCTTTTTGCTTCAATGTTCAAGATAACTTTTTCAAGGTTAGGTTTGACCACTCAATCACTCTATCAAAATTACAAGGGGCAGTCTTCGCCCCGTCTGTAACTGCAACGTGGCTAAATGGGCTGAGGTGTTGACAGATGCTTAAAAATTGATGCCCCTCGACAACCAGACCAGGGCCCGCGCACTATACTTAATAAAACTAAGTACAGTGGAACCTCGATATAACAAACGGTCAAGGGGCTGCCAAAATATGTTCGTTATAACGAGGTTCGTTAACTTACATCGAGGTTCTTTATCAAATTGACATATATTTTACTATTACTAGAGTTTAAAAAAAGGCAGTTCGTTAAATCGAGGCTGACTTCGTTATATAGAGGTTCCATTGTAATATACATTTTCATATAAAAAGTATCTTTGCTGGAATAAGAATCTTCCAGCAATTAAATTTATCATTGGTCCGTTTCGATCCTAGATCTGATGCGTAGTAAGCCTTAAAACGCCTATCTTCTACAAAACTACACTTAGTCCTGGACTTCTGCGTTTTCAAACCAGCAAGGCTATGTAGCATATGCAACGATGCAGAAAGGAGTCTTTTTCGATGAAGGTTCCCTATTAAATCTGAAGACCACTCCACGGAACTACGGTTTCTTAAAACGAATTATATCGCAGGCTCAGTGATGATGTGGTCCATCTATTTTTATCTAAAACAACTATTTCGTCACTATATTATATTCTTTGTACTCGTAGGTATTCTTGTTTTGGGTCACCTGCTCGGTTATAGTTCTATGAACTATTTAGGTGTCCCAAACATATTTATTTCCTTTGAAGCTATTAAACTGGCATTAATCGGCGCAGTAAAACTTGATTCCTGAAATACTTTGGATGCAACGTTGTGGCTTTATATTGGCCTTTATATAAAAGCTAAAGACGTCCAAACTAAGAATCTCTTATGTAGCCTGAAATTGTTATATTATAAGTTCAAATGTAGCGCACATATAAACTGAAAAATCTTGCCTGATATAAAAAGTTCATATTTTGTTTTTGCGATGTCACAATTATTCTTGGTTCAATTTGACCTGCTTGAACGTTCCATTTAATCAGCAACAAGAACGCTCTTACAGCGGCCTTCAACCTCGCTTGCTTGGAGATTAGATCGAGAAATGTGGAGGCGATTAATTCTCCAAGAAACAGGACATAGTGGCTGAAGGTTTTTTACTCCTACTTTATCGGCGACGATACTTTTTATTTGTTTCTGAACTGATTTAGTAAGCGTGTTAGCGACGACTGGAAATACGTCTGCGGTAGCAGGTTATACACGTGCATATATACACGAAAATTCAAGGGCCTCAATTCCAGAGCAATTACATCATTGCTAGAGATTAAAAAAGTGACTTACAAGGCACGTCATTTCAATCATAGCCAAAAATAAATCGAATGCTCATCACAAGACCCATTTTCATACAATGAAAGTTTAAAACACACGACCCGTCGCAGTTTTGCTAATTAAGATTCTTATTTTTTTTCGACCACTCAGTAGTGTTCACTTGTTCCGAAGTAATCTACGCTTTCAAGCGATAGAATTCGTGGACCGACACGTTTCGGAAAAGCTCAAAATTTCATCTTTCCTAAGCTTTCTTCGCAAAACATGCGTGGCTTCGATCCAGCCTCGTTGCTAGGGTTCTCTCCCACCCGTCCCTACGGAGCGAGCGAGAGAGAGAGACGCTGGTTGGGTCTGGTCACGTGGCTCCAGAACAAGATTAATTCGATCACGCAACGATTTTTAGTCCCCTCAGTCCCTTGAACGCCTGACACAATGAGCCCCTTCTGTGTCCTAAATGCGATGAAAACCTCATTGCAGATTATGAGTCTCGCTGCTTACGCAAGCGAGACTAATAAATTGACTCTGGCAATAACTCACACCACAGGCATGTGCTGCTTGTTGCTGGGATACAGTCTTGAGCCCTGGCAAAAAAGCCGCGCGCTTTGTACAGCGGGTTATGACCATGTACGGATGCTCGCACTCGGAAAACCAGTTTGACGAGAGAAAACAAGATTGTCTAGTCCGAGCGTTCGGCCCACGGAGACTTCAATTTCAGGGAGAGCCTCCTTTTCTTAGGCTGGATTACCAGAAAAAATGAGGCAAAATGGATTACCAGGCAAAATGAGCCCGCACTCAGGATCAAAGATCAGACCCGGGAGACGGCGGAAATCGAGCCTACCTTTTCTCAGCGATGTGAATTGATACAAAATATATTTCACCCCGTTACTCAGAGCCAACAGCCCATATAATTGTTGCCAACCAATCTACAAAGAAAGTCAATGAATGCCTTAATGTTGCACAGTCAAGAAGCTCTTGAGAAACGCGGTAAACATTTAATAAGTGCTAATGTGGGCTCCAGATCGAAATGAAATTAAATAAGGGATCTCGAGGTTGTATTTTTTAAGAAAGGAGAATCAGAAAACCTTAGAAAAACCTCACGGTGCGAAAAAGACAGCCCACAACAAACTCAACCCACAAAAATGAACGCTTACTCGAAAGGAAAACAGGGCTTGGAGGCATGAGCTCTCATCCTTGCTGTGGTTAATGAGAAAGGCAGTAAGCACCGTTTGATTCAATTAAGAAGATCTCTTTTGCAACTGCAAAAAAGGGTTCGATCCAGTTGACAAAACTTTTTCTCCAAAAGAGTCCCAAAATGACCAACCTCCTTGATGTCCTTGATGTCGTAAGTTAACCGTAATCATAAAAACTGTCAAACATTAACCTCTCTAAAGCTAATGTCGATGAGATATAGTTGGATATGACAATCTTATCTAAAAGTACTACGATGCGTGACAAGAATTTATGGATGACAGTGATGGTTAAATTAAATGCATCAGTTTTCACTTTTTGCCAAGGATATCTGTATCTATACAACCTAATTCATGAGCAATTCACTTAGTTTACAGAAAAAAAAAACAGTTCTTCCTAATTAACTCGTGATAACATCCAAAAACAAGGCCATCTCGGAATTTGTATTTTGGCTACAGTAGCACCACGCGCGTTAGAAATTGAACGGAATCGTTTTAATTAAGCGTTCATTGAAATGAACTTAGAAATCTTCCTTCCGTTTCAAGAAAGATGGATTAGCATTATTTACGACACAAAAAAATTGAAGAACGGCCAATGAACTAAGTTCACATAATTCTCTTTCAGGTAATTCATCTAATAACTAATCAATATTTTTTTTCTGAAAGTGACAGCGAAAATGAATCACTGGCAAATGACAAAAACGCCCACAAGTTCTAACAGCTGCGGCAGTTTTCTAATTGTTTCAAAGTTTTGGCGTTGATATTTTTAATCAGGCAAGAATTAAATATTAATTGTGCCCTGTATCCAGAAAAAAAAAAACTTCTGCAGTCGCTTTTTGTGATTCGTAATATGTGGGAAGCCTGAGAGCAGAATCTTAAAAGGTTAAAAAATTACTGTTTGAAATTTTATTTCATTCGTCGCTTAACGTTCCTGTGTATATATTACTGTATTTCATTACTAAAATATTAGCCTCGGGTAGTAATTTATTGTTATTTCCGCGAAATATTTCATAACACAGTGTTATCTAAGTATCTCTGTTAGTGTTAAACTATTAAAGTTTTTCCATGATTTTTCCACCAACTTCTTCACAAGTTAAGTTCGGGGCTATCGGCTTAGAATTATCTAGCAGGTGTTGTTACGGGAAAAATCTCATGCTTAGAGCGAGAAAATAGGCAAGAGAGGGCTAGCAAAACGAAATTGGCTATCCGTGGCTTTATACCAACGACTAAGTTCTTGCTAAGCAATTCGTTGTTTCAAATAACGCTTTTTGAAACCTTGGGTTATTAACATATGACACTCATGTCACGGCGTTTGTTTGATCACGTACATATCTTCTTGGCGAAAATGGCATTGTCTCGTTATGGTATTGGATATAGGAGATTGCTATAAAAAGCGCTTAATCTATGATAACAACAGTAATAAAAAAGAAATAATTTGTAGAGCTTTGAATAAAATTCTAGAAAGAAAACTTTCTTCAGAAACCTTATCGTAAATCAAACACTTTTCGCCAACAAATATTAGCATGTCAACAGCGCTAAACAAATCTAACTATAACATTGTATTGCCCGTAGCGTAGTGCCAGATGAATCGATGCTGACGGAGGAACATCTCAAATTATTTTAACGAAGTCTTTAGGCAATGTAATTAGTTAGCCGAAATGAGAACCCGGTTTCCTCTCTCTTTCTTTCTTTTTGTCTTTTTTTTTTCAGAAAGAAAGAAGCTTTCGTGACATACATCCGAAAATTTACCTCTATTTGCTTTAATGTCAGGTATGAAAAATGTCATTTTGGGTAAAAAATACAAGACCATCCTATTAGAATGTTTGGGCAAGTAAGAAACCAATACAGCCAGAAAATTCGTTAAGGAAGATCCCGATTTTGGACAATTTTGGCTTAAAGATGGAAAAAATTTAACACGTACAGACAACTTGCTGAAATAATACAGATTGAAATGTACTTATAACGTTAGAACGCCACTCTATTCAGCCCTCGGTACACTTCTCCAAGTCAACGACATACCTCTCAAAATACTGTATGTGTCCCAACGTCTTCGACGATTTATACCAGATTTTAATCACCAAAGATGATTCACATTCAGGTAAATTCGACTGAGAAAACTACGTTTATACTTCCAGTGTTATGACTACTTTGAAT